TCGGGACCTTGTTTGGTGGTCTTAAACGGCAACCAAGAGGAAAACACAATTTGGAGGGTATCCTAAAGGGGATTGCAAATTTCCGGAAGAAGATATTTGCAGTGTTGTCAACTTCCCGATGGAAAAGCTAGCTACCCAGTTGGACCTCGGTTGCCTGTTGCCTCAGGATCTGGGGTGAGGGAAGCACTAGACTGGGAAGCAAACGTGTACGCAAGAACCCTGGTAAATGGCCCATACCCAAATGGGTGTTGCTCAAAATTTAACAGGGGGTTACGCAGGTTTTGGTCCATGTTTCCATTTACCAGGGTTCCAAAATGGGTATTCCGGTTTTTTTAGCCACGGCCAAATTGGTGCAGGGATTGTTTCCCCTCTAAATTTGCGCCACGGTTTCTCTTGATTTCCCGTTTTCGATGCGGCAACCAAGCCAAGGAAGGGCACCCTCGCCCAAGTCTCAAGCATATCGATATGCTTACCTGTGCGCTTTTTTAGGGGCCCCCTGTTCGTAAATGGTTTTCCTGTTGGTTGATCCTGAAAAAAACCTACCAAACAGGATTTTTTAAGAGTAGCCCCTTTTACAAGGGTTTTTATGCACCATCAAAGCCCAAATTTGGAATGCTCAAAGAGGGCCCACAGTTTTGCCTATGGACAAGCCCTAGCTGAGAAGTTTATGTTGGACTCCGGCGGATTTCTACTCTTGGACGGGTCCAGGGAAGATTTAGACTTTCCCTTGCAAAAAAGCACCAACCAACAAGGTGATTGACTTTTTGCAGGCCAACGATTGGGGACCACCGGTGACCAGATCAAAAGCCAAACTCTGACCCGTGGCCTTCCCCGGTGTTTTTTGGCTTTTGCCCCTCGCCTCACCAATTCTACTTTTGGTTCTACGAAAAGGGGGATTCTAGGAATTGATTCCCCATGTTTTTCAGCCATCGTTCTTTTCAAAAACCACATTTCCCCAGGGTTTTGGGTGGTTTTCTAGAAAGAAGGATCCCTGGAAAGAATGGGGCAGTTACCCCTAGAGGTATGGGCCTTGCGGTAGTGTATTAGCTCCTTCAAGCATTGGCCAACCGGGTTGTTGGGCCCTGCTCGCATGATTCCATTCCATCCCCCACAACCTCATCAATCCCCTCCAAGAACACGCCAGTGTTGCCAAGATGATTGCCAAGGTTTTCTATAGTTCCCATGTAATCATCACCCCACCAAAAGGAGGCTCTCTTTAACCTGGCCCAACAGGTCATCTTTGAGCCAACCCAAAGGGTCACCTTTAAACCAACCCAAAGACGGAATAGAGGAAACCCCAGTAGAACCTTCTTCGGAAGAAACTAGGGTCACGAGCAGAACCCCTTTCAGTGTTGCCACGGGCCAGCCACATACTGTCTTACTTCAACCGAGGATCTCCTTGCTACAGTTGTAGTTGGCGTGGAACAATCTGGTTTGGCCTTGACAAGTGAAAACTGTGGGAACAATCTGTATGTGCCATGTGGTTGGTGAAGCTCGTAGGAATTTCATCGTATTGTTGATGGACTACAGAAAGTGGCAGTTTTAAAGCGCAACGTCCGAAAGGCTGTGACTTGCGTTGGCCAAGCGGCCCAGGGGCGATGCGAAACCTCCTCCCTCCGAAGAGTTCGTGGACAAATGGAAGAAGCGATGAGCAGAAGTACCGGGCGAGCGCGCGTGCGTCTCACCCGGATGCGGCCCCTAGATGAGCTAATTGGATGGGCGATCTTCTGGCTTCCTTAAAACACCCCGCCCAAAAAAGCATTTGATTAGTCAAACCAAAAGAACAGAAGCAGCAGCCAGGCGCCTTATTGACTATAGTCTGTTGTTCCACTACCTCGTTTCACGGTGCTAGTAGTGCCTCCATAAACCTTACCAGGTTTGTAGATCCCAAAGCCATTGAGTCAACTGGCACCATAAGATCAGGTCGAGATGGCCCTTGAGCCTAAGTCGGGATAGCTCGAAAGCAAAGGAGCTCGAAGGTTTGTGGAAAACGGGGCCGAACCCGCGGCGGGAGCTGGGACGTTGGGTCTGCTGGTGAGGCTTGTGCTTTGGAATTTGACTCTCTCCGATCGTGCAAGCGTTTGTTTCATACTTAGTCAGGCGCATTGCTTGCACCAAACAAAGCCACCAAGAAGAAAGAAAACAATCACGAATGGCGACGGTCGCACTGCTGAAAACCTTGTGGCATTTCTTCAGCAGCTGAGCATTCCACCTTGTCTATATTGAACTTGCCTCTGCAAATTTATACCATAGATTACTAAGCCCCCCCCCTTGTACCCCCCCTTTTCATTTAAGTGTAAAATGCTTATCTGCCTAGGGTTCCTGGGAGAGGTCCTTGGGGGAATGCACTTCCAGCCCCGCACGCTAGCAACACTCCTTGGGAGAGGCTTGAATCACGAGCATTGCGTTTGCAAGCAAAGGACAACATACGAGACAGGCTAGCCTGAAACTCGTTCCTTTGCTAAATGACTCGGGACAATTGCTCCCCTAAAGCTCGTCTCTTTGCTATTCTCTTTGCCAAATGCTCCCCTACGACTCAAGCCCTCGCCGGTTTTCCTGGGTTTGTCCGAAAATCCGCAGAAAACAGCCTCGGGAAGCCAAAACACTGAAATAACTCGAGTTTTACGGACCCGCCCCCCCTTTCAAATAGGGTACTAATAGCGTACTAATAGCAGCCTATTGGTCAGCTATTAGGGCCCGAATAGACTTACAGACCCCCCCCCGGTTTCAAATAGCTGCTAATAGGTTGCTAGTAGCAGTGACTAGCTACCTAGACCCCGCGAGCAATGCAATTCTGCCAGACTCCGCCAGACTCGGACGCTTTGATACCTTTTCTCCCACTCGGCATTTTTGCCGCCCAGTTTGAACAGCTGATTGAACCACTCAGACTGTGCCCAGTGGACTTGTACGTTGCTGAAATTTTCGGGGATCAATATTGTGATATGACCCAAAACTTGGAGGCTATCCGACGATTTCAGTACCAGCCATCGCGGCATTGCAACAACCTGCCGCCTGTAAAGATTTGAAGCAGCGTGACAACTCGGCACAATCCTGCAAGAAAATATGGCTGCTAATAGCTACCTAATGGCAGCTATTTGCACGCTAAAGCCGGGAAGCTATTAGCAGCTATTAGTAAGCTATTAGGAAGCTATTAGTAAGCCATTAGCGCACAGCCCTGCAAAGACCTCTTAGATGAAATGGGGAGGGGGTATAAGGGGGGAGGGGTTTTGTAATCTATGGTTATAGGTATTGAGCTTACGGACAAAGGATCAACCGAGCTCATTGTGACCTCCTTCCTGAGTTCATGGACTTCATACTTTTTGGGAAGACCGTTTTAGTGGTAACTAATCACTCATTAAGTGAGATGCGACGTAGGTCATTTACTTACGCAGGGGATCCAAGTCTCATTTCCGGTTCTCGAATTGTTTTGACCTTTTTGTATTGCAGCCTCTGTTTAATCATGGACGCTGACAGAAGATTGGGAGACGATCGTCCTTTGGAGAAAAGACATCGCCCGCGTCCAGTTCCGTGATTCTTTGCAAAAGAAGCGTAGCCATGTGCCCAACTGAAGGGCATGTCCTACAATACCTTGCTGGTGCTCAGGCACCGAGGGAATGACCCCAGAGTCAGAACCACAGGTGTTTCCCAGGCCAACTTTGTTTCACTCCTTGAAACCGACCCCAAACCCCCGCGGGGCCTATGATCAGGGTTGTGGAATCAAGGGGTTTATTCCCACTTCTGTGATACCTTCGGGAATCTCCCCCTGTATATGGGGTGTTAGTCTTTGGGAAGCCCTTTTTGTTGTATCACAGAAGTGGTCATTTCCCACAACCCTGCCAATGATTGTTTGACCGCACGGTCATGCAGAAGGCCTCCTAGTTCAGGTGTCGAGACCTTAGGCCCCCCAGTGGGGTTCCCCTAAAATAGACAGCAGAAAACAGGGTAGCCTAGTTAGTGTTCCAGACTGAGGGCCACGTGTCTTGAAATGATTCGGGTTTTTGGTTTGCTCTCCTCAAAGCAGCGCCCAGATCTGGGATCTTTTTTAGATTTTGTGGCAGGCTGTGGGTCAAACCTAGGTGCCCAAAATGGAACCTGGTAAATGGTAACATTGCCTAAAACCTGCGGTTCGTTTGACCCAGACCCACATATTTAGCTGCGCTAAAGATGGGCCACATAATTCCATGTTTGGTTGAGCAAAAGCTGAGGCGCCAACAGGCGCCCTTCAAGCAACCACTTTGGCCAGTTAAAAATCACCATTTGGGTAGGGATCTATGTGGGGTTGGCTTTAAAGGAAAACCAATTGGACAACACATAATTTTGCAGGGTCCCATATTTAAGATTCTCACCTTGTAAACTTGTCTGGCGGTTTTTGTTGCATCGCTTTTTCTGAATCCTTGTCAAGGAGTCAACAGATTCTGTTTGGAGCGCTAATGGGTATGGTATGTGTCAGAAAGGACCCCGAAACTTTGTGGCCATTTGGATCCTTGGACTTTATCCACAAAAAGTTGAAGATTTGTTTCGGAGTCCTTGCAACAACCAGGCTTTAAAATGGGTGCGTTTCAGGGATCTTTTCCGGAAACCAGCAAACACCTAGGGGAAACAGCTGGTGTTGGAAAGGAAGGATGGTTGAAAAGAATGGAAGAGGAATCAACCCATAGACTCAGTTGTTCAAAGCCGACCTTTTGACCTTTTGGTTTTCCCCTTTTGGTCTATTTTTAGTAGAGGTCCCAAAAGGTGATCACCTTTTATTTCCAGGTCCCTTGGGCAAGTGAGTAGAACAATGGACATTTGGTCGGATGAATAAACCGCCGCCTCTCCATTCACCAGGCTTCTCTTTCGCTTGCGGACCCCCGGTGAGCTGAAGCGAGAGGTGTCGCCTTGGTTTTTTTCACAGGCCTGGATCGGGAGGACATGTTTTCCAGGCAAAACCCCCCTGCAAAGTTGCCTGGGTTTCCCCAAGCTCAACCTTCAGGGGTCTCGCCAGCCACCAGACTCGCCAGGTTGCGGGAAGCCTTGGCCCGGGCCGGCAAGGAGAGAGAGTTTTTTGGCACGTCGGCGGGGGCCAGGTGGGTCGGTCGATTTTTTGTTGGGTACCTGTGAAAGGGACACAAGGAAGACCGGAAATTTTGGAGGGGTATTCCAAGAAAGATACCTATAGGTGTCCTTCTAGGTTATTGTGCTGAGAAATAGAAGGGTGCCTGGCTTTGATTGGTTTTATGCCCCATTTGACAGGAAAACTCATCAAGCTTTAAAACATGTCGCCTATGGTCTTAGCACAGCAGGTGAGTGGCTGAGATCAACAAATTGCTTGCTGCTGAATTCAGACGCAACGGAATATTTAGCCAGCTACATGCGGGGGACATGCAATAAGGAATTGGACCCTAACAGTGCTTGGTTTCGTTTTGGTTCACTTTTCGCCGTCCAAAGGGGGCCTTTCCCTTTTTGACGGCATTGCTACAGGGTTTAAAGTTTAGGGTTTGTTGGTCGAATATCCCAACCCGGCCGTGTGGCTTGACCGGGACATCGCCGCCGTTTGCTGTGGCTTTTGTGTTTTCGCCGCCGGTTCCTTGTTGCTTTTGGTTGCTTTTAGCTGGTTTATATAGTGTGTGTTTTCCATTTAACCGACTAACAGTTAAGCTCTTGGCAGGGAATTGTGGGCTCCTTGGGTTTTCCAGTTGCTTCCAGAGTTTGTGTAGCGTTGGTTTTCTCCATTTCACCCACTAAAGGTCAAGTCTTTTGGCCGGGGATCAGTTTGTGACAGCCCAGTTTGTTCCTTTCGGCCGTTTCGGCACTCGCAGGACCAGCCCACCAAAGTCTCGGAGCTGGAGGCATGGCTTTTCGCCCAAGCCGTCTTTTTTTTGGCGGGGGGGTTTTCTCGACTTTGCTGGTTTCATGTTCGTTTTGGGTAAGGGGTCAAGGTGTTTTTGTTTCCTTTCTTCACTTTGTCGGTGTCGTGTCAGTTTTTGGGCTGGCGAAGGATTCAAGGGAAGGCTCCAACAAACGGGTCTCTACATGTTCCCTTATTCTTTGGGTTTAACTCCCATCAAAAGAATGGCTGGCCCAGTTTACAGTAGATGAACCTCCTTAAGCAATTGCCGATTCCGACCTTTTTTTGGTTGGCCAATGTTGGCAACCACTTTGAGTCATGACCCCCAAAGGTTAACCTTTGCATTTATGGGTCCGAACTGGGCAACTGAGTATAATGGTGGTTATATCAAACATCACCAGCTTGGGTTGGTGCGCAGATGCCGGTTGACCGACGATGTTCCGCTTGCAAAGGTAGCCTATTGCACTTCCATGTTTATTGGCGGGATTGCCAGGCTTTTCTGGTCCTTGGTTGGAAAATGGCATATGATTTTCCCTTGACCTACAAACCACCGCCAAAATACAAGGCTTTTCTTCTCCTCCATACTCCTTATCCTCTTTGTAAACCTTTGCATACCCCTGACAACCCTTATCTAACGCTCGGTCTGGTTTTGGGGCAGGTGTGGGGTTAGCCGCAATGTCTCCCCAGATAAGTCGTGTACTTGGATTCCCCTCATATTGCTCACATTTCCTTTTTAACCGGCAAAAAGTTAAACTTTTTGCTGGGGGATCTACAGCACCCAAGAGTCCCCATTCCGTGCAATTTTCCCTGTAACCCACGGACTGGGGAGTTGTTGGCTGGGGATGACCGCTTGCCTGACGCCGGACCCGCGATCATCCAAGTGTGGCAGGGTATTGAAAGCGAGCCCTACCCAGGATGGACAAAAACCAATTCTGCACAACCTTTCAGAAGGATGATTTCAATGTAAATACCAGCAAACGTTATGGCTTCCCATGGTTTCAAAGTGGTGAACATGCAGACTACAGGAGGCAACTTGAGGCCAAAGATGTTTTCTGAAAACCGATGTTTTTGGCCATCCAAGTGGGGGGTCTCGGATGAAAACGCCCACTTGGTCAAGTGGTTCATATCCCACGGAGTGGGGACTTCACTGTGTTTTTCAGCACTTACAGGCTACCTGTGGCCCGTGGTCCACGTAAACCTACCTCAAACCAACCCCACAAACCAAAACCAACCCGCAAGCCTAAACCATGGACATCTCATGACACATCCTAGGTCCCCCATTAGTGCCCTTTTACCCTTTTTTGGGGGAGGGTTCCCCTACTAAAATAGACTACAGAAAAAAGGGTACCCTTATTCTAACCTCTCTACTGGAGGACCTAGCACTAGTAAAAAAAAGTAAATGAGTGCAAACTCAACAATCCAACCCCAAGGCCCCAGAAAAGCCTACCAAGTTCTCGGGGTTGATTCCCTGTCCATTCTTCTCAGCCATCCTTCTTTTCAACCGATGGATCCATTTCCCCCGGCTTTTTGCTGGAGAATGGAAATGGAAGTTCGCCGAGGTATGGGCCTGGCGGCCAGCCCCGCCATCAATCCCCAGGCCCAAGCAAAGCCGAGCAACCCGAGCAACCCGAGTCCAGTGGAGCAGAGTTTCCTTGGATGTTGCTAGACGTTTCACTCCTTTTCAACAGCCGATCCGTGCCTTACAGCCGTTTTTTGACCGGAGAAGTCGGAAAAAAAACAGCGCCATGGCAATTTGGCCCGGGGCCAAACATCGGGAGGTGCAGAGGCTCCGAGAAGCGCTGGTGCGGTCCCATGCCAAGCTGCAGCGCTACGAGGCAGGAGAAGAAGCCCACCAGCCCGCGTTTCAAAATTCCAACCGCGGATCCCCCTACCCCTGTTAAAATTCTCAGTTGTTCAAAGCGAATCGACCTTTTGACCTTTTGGTTTTCCTTGTTTGGTCTATTTTTAGTAGAGGTCCCAAAAGGTGATCACCTTTGGGCAAGTGAGAATTCGGAATCCCGAATCCGGGAAATAGGTGCAAGGTGTGTGTGTGTGTTTTTTGGCGTCCCATCTCGCTGGGATAGGTGCAAGGAGCCCGTGGAAGGGGTTTATGCTTAGGGCTTCCTCCGAAGGTCTGTGGCCATGGGATTTCTAGAGGACTTGTGTCATTTGTGTGGGGAGGCCCTCATCCCGGATCCTCTTAACCATGGACTTGGGGGCGACGTGTGGATGATAACCCAAGACAAATGGAATTTGAGGAACCCCCGCCCAGCGTTTTCGCCAAATCAGGTCTTTATATATGCGGCAGGGTTCTGATCCCCGCCCCCTTTCGGAATTTCGGAATCGGGGGACCAGGGAACCACCCAAGAACCCCCACCCCGGTCCGGGGGGTTTCGGGTCTTCGGAATACATGGAAGATCAGGGTTGTCTCATGTTTTGACGGAAGATGGAATTGGGGCTGTTGAATATGGAGCCGGTGTTGTTTCGCTCCATCTTTCGTTGGTGCAGGGCATGGTGACCCCTCAAAAGTAAAAATAAAATTAAAATGATAACCCATTCTTCTATGCCCACTTAAGGTGGGGGGATCCCTCCTAAAAGTCTTTATAGGCCATGGGAACCCTAGATTGGGATTTCTTTAAATTGATCGAGGGAGGATTAATTCGGGTTTTGTAGGGTTCTGGACTTTAGTCATTGTGGTAAGCAAAAAGTATGGTTGCATGGGTTAGGCCACTCAGGAAGTGAGGGGCTTAATGGCAACTCCGGAGTAGCAAATTTCCCAAACACCTGGTTGATTGTTCTTTGGGGGGTGTCCTCTTTTTGTGGGCGGTTCGTCACTTGAAGGGACCACCCCACTGCAAGACTAACACGGGTTCTGCGTGGACCATAGATCCGGGGTCGGGTTCTGAAATATTACAGACTATGTCGAACAATCACATGCTTGGAGGGGTTCAGCTAAAACAGCTGGCAGCAGTGATTTGACTGACCCAAATGTAGCTGACAAAGTGGCCTTGAAGGGACCCTGTTTATTGAATAACTACTGTTTAAGCGTTTAAGCAACTTAATCATCATGTTGCAACTCACTCTGCATTTTGGATAGCAACCTCCTTCAACCAGCTCTGTTCAAGCAACATCCTAGTGGTTTCACTTTCACTTGCTGGTTCTCAGTAAAAAAATGAGGGAAGGACCCCTACAAACCAGGTTTTCTATTTTCTTGAGGGAGATTTAATCAGGTTTCCCAAGACCCGGAAATGATTCCCTATTGAGAACCATCAAGAACAAGAAAGATCGGAAAGCGCGGCGGAATTCACGATACTAAGCTGAACAAAACACCCAGCTACCAGGCTTGGAGAATCCGAATCCGCGTAAAGCAGGGCCCTGTTAAGCCATGGTTTACATTTCGGACGTCAGGCAAGCGGGTAGTAACCTGCTATATATCTTGTAGCTGCTGGGTCAACGACTAGAGTTCCCGACTTACCACTTTCCTGACGTACTGGATCGCCTCCCTAAGCATCACTGTAATTACTCAAGGAAAGACATCAGACCCGTACTCTGTCGAAAGGTTCGATCCGAACCCTCTGATCAGAACGTCTTTGATTATAGAAGATTCCTGCCAAAGCTTTCCTGTTGGCTAGGGTGGCCTTTTGTTTCCTGTCAAATGGTAGGGAATCAGGCGAGACCATTTGGTGACCCATGTGTTTTGACACATGAGCAACAGATCTGTTGCCAGGTTGTTGTTTTGAGTGGTCGATGTTCTGTCTGTTTTGCAGGGCAGGACGGCCATCGGGCAGGATCGGCTTTGGTGATCCATCCTATGCTATTTGGGTACTGTCGGGGAAGCCTTTTCCTCAGTTTGGACTTTAGATTAAATCAGGGTCTATTTTAGTCTTCTCCAAGAGTCTGGCGGGGCGGGGTGTAGAGGTGTTTTGGGGGCGCCCTTTTGGAGGGTGTGATCATATCGCGAGAAGACCAGTGCAGCCAATCCACGGAGATGCAAAGCCCAGTCTAGTGCCCAGGAATTCCATTGATTTGACCCGCTTGTTCGGCCAAGCTAGTGGTGAGATGCAGGCTACAACTCAACCGGGTCCCCCAAGTCAAGTTGTCCTTGTTACAAGCAGACGTAAATCTAGTTTACAAGCCACTTCGGGTACTCCGATGTGGACATCCGCTCCCCACTTTTCAATCGATTGGATCTACGGGTCCCGAGCCCTGACTTAGTTATGTGACTCACCTACATTTTCAGCGCAGGTGTCTCCCTTAATTGGTGGTTTGGATTGGCGGTGGGGCCCGGGGACACCAGCCAGCCAGGTCTTTCTTGTAGGTAAATGGGACACCAGCTTCACCTCCAAACCAGGGGGCTCCAAACGAGCTGATTCCAGGGATTTGGGATTTGCAGGCGATGCTTGCAACCAGCTCGGCACACAGAACACCACCTGTGGGGCATTGCTCACCTCCTTCTCCCCTCTTCCTCTATTTGCACCCTACCTGTCAGGCGTGTTAAGTTTGTAACCACGCAAGTCGTACTGGGTGTGGCTTTTTTGGAGGGGACCCTCCGAAAACGTACCCTTCCACCAACTGACATGGAAGTGCACAGACCCTGTAGAAAGACTAATCACTTTCCTCTTGGAAAGGGGGTTTGTGCACTTCCTTGCTGGAAGGGTACGTTTTTGGGGGGTCCCGCCCAAAAAACACGACGCACCCAGTACGACTTGTGAGGTTGTCCTGTGGTTTTCCTCTGGGTTCCTCTGGTTTTCCTCTGGTTTTCCTCTGGTTTTCCTCTGGTTTTCCTCGGGTTTTCCTCTGGTTTTCCTCTGGTTTTCCTCTGGTTTTCCTCGGGTTTTCCTCTGGTTTTCCTCTGGTTTTCCTCGGGTTTTCCTCTGGTTTTCCTCTGGTTTTCCTCGGGTTTTCCTCTGGTTTTCCTCTGGTTTTCCTCGGGTTTTCCTTTGGTTTTCCTCTGGTTTTCCTCTGGTTTTCCTCTGGTTTTCCCTGGTTTTCCTGGTTTCCCTCTGGTTTTCCTCTGGTTTTCCTCGGGTTTTCCTCTGGTTTTCCTCTGGTTTTCCTCGGGTTTTCCTCTGGTTTTCCTCGGGTTTTCCTCTGGTTTTCCTCGGGTTTTCCTCGGGTTTTCCTCTGGTTTTCCTCGGGTTTTCCTCTGGTTTTCCTCTGGTTTTCCTCGGGTTTTCCTTTGGTTTTCCTCTGGTTTTCCTCTGGTTTTCCTCTGGTTTTCCCTGGTTTTCCTGGTTTCCCTCTGGTTTTCCTCTGGTTTTCCTCGGGTTTTCCTCTGGTTTTCCTCTGGTTTTCCTCGGGTTTTCCTCTGGTTTTCCTCGGGTTTTCCTCTGGTTTTCCTCTGGTTTTCCTCTGGTTTTCCTCGGGTTTTCCTCTGGTTTTCCTCTGGTTTTCCTCGGGTTTTCCTTTGGTTTTCCTCTGGTTTTCCTCTGGTTTTCCTCTGGTTTTCCCTGGTTTTCCTGGTTTCCCTCTGGTTTTCCTCGGGTTTTCCTCTGGTTTTCCTCTGGTTTTCCTCGGGTTTTCCTCTGGTTTTCCTCTGGTTTTCCTCTGGTTTTCCTCGGGTTTTCCTCTGGTTTTCCTCTGGTTTTCCTCTGGTTTTCCTTTGGTTTTCCTCTGGTTTTCTTTCCCTGGTTTTCCTTTGGTTTTCCTCTGGTTTTCGTTTGGTTTTCCTTTGGTTTTCCTCTGGTTGTCTTTCCCTGGTTTTCCTCTGGTGTTCCTTTGGTTTCCCTTCAAACCCAACCGAAAAAACCGGGTTTGATCCTCCCACCGCCAGGCGGATCAAGAGGCCCACACAGAGCCAGACACCGCGAGGACGGGAGGTAGGAATTTCTTTCGGGGCGGAAGGCGGAGAGTTGTGTTGATTGGGTGGTTTGGTGTGCTTGATTTCATTGTGTGTTGGTTGAGTTACTTGTTTTGGTTGTTTCTTTTGTTTTGCGCGGTTTTGATTTGGGTGTGTGTTTACTTGTTAGATTTTGTTTGGGTTTACTCGTGTTTGGCTTTGGTTTGGCTTGTTTACTGTACTAGGTTTGGTTTGGGTGACTTTGGCTTGGCATGCATTTTGTCTATCACTTGTTGGTTTGGATTGGGCTTGGCTTGGTGCTGTGTATTCGGTTGCGTAGGTTTGTGTGAGAACCTCTTACGTGGCATGCTCTTTCGCATGTTGAGGTCACTTGATATTATATATATATATATGAGGATATATATTAATTATATGAGTGCCAGAGTCTGAAGATGTCAGTTGTTGTTACCCGGGGCACGGCGGATTTGTTTTTTTTTGTTTTGTTGCGAGACTTGCCATGAAAGGGTGGCTCCCGTGCCTTCATTTGCTTGGGTGTTCCCCACTGTGAGAAGTGCCGAATGTTGACCCCATATGAATCAACCACTCCAAAAGCTTAAGTGGTCTGATTTCAACCACTAAACCCAGGCCCCTCCCCCCCCTTTAATAAACAGGGGTTGATTAACATGGGGCCAACATTTGGTCACGACCTGTTTTTTGTTGTCTCCCAAGTGGAGACCAATCAGTCGCAAGTGGGTCAAGTCCAACGAACCACTCGCTTGGCCGAACACGCGAGTTCAGGCAATTTGTGGTTGGATTGCAGAGTTGAACCCCCAGTTCCTTGTGAAGTCGCCCTTTGAAACCACCGATCCGATCCAAACTCCAAACATCTCCGAACCAATTTGAGCTAACTCGGGTGTCCTCCGGTACTATGTTGCATGTCACGGCTAACTAAGCATGAGACAGCATCTGAACATATGGGTATATCATCTCTTTTTGATGATACCTTTTTTGGGTTTGGTTTGCAGGGAACCCAAAAGCAGATTACAAAATGTGCGGGTTTCCCTATTTTGAAACATACCCATACAATATGAGTTGTGATGTACCCGTTGGGTCAAGAGGGTTGGATGGTGAGATGCCACACCCTCCGCCGGAGGGGCGTGGGGCTAGGACGACAGTGGCGCCACAGGAGCATAGGCGCGGCGCTGAAGTGTGAGCGTTTCGTTGGTACTGTGGATGGACGAAATCCTGCACCACTCTAACAAATCCTGGAATGGTGATGTCCCTGCAAATTCCAACAAACAATGGTTTCCTATGGCTTCAAAGTGGTGCAGGATTCTGTCCATCCACAGTAGGGTTTGAACCGTTCTCTGAGCGATCGGTTGTTCGTGTGACCATCCATCTTGAGCATAGCTCCTCACAGGGGGATGGGTAGTTTGATGTAGTTCTAGGGGTATCTTCCATTTCCATTCTTTCCAGGGATCCTTCTTTCTAGAACACCACCAAACACCCTGGGGAAATGGCGATCGGTTTTGAAAAGAACGACGGCTGAAGAGAATGGAAAAGGAATCAACCCCTGGAGTAGTTGTCCGTTCAACTTTGGGCTCCGGAGCCTGTTGAACAATAGTTCCAATGGTTCCAAGCAATCCCATCTGGGCAATTGCCAAAATCCCCGTTCCACCCTCCTTGGATGAGCAACAAACTAAGCAGTGGCAGGTGATAGCCATGGTTATAGGGGAATTAAGCCCAGTTGCACCAGTTATAACCATGGTTCTAACCTACTTAGGTGGTAGAACATCCAAGTAACCGCAGTTACGCCCCCTTTAAACTCTGGTGACTCGACCCTCCCTGAGAAGAGCTCACGAGTGAGGTCCATGTCCATGTACTTCACCAACTTCACGCCCACCAAGCCGGACAACTCCACCCAGCGAGGCGCCAATTTCGGCCCTTAGGGGGGGGCGCCCATTCCGGCGGTCGATTTGTGGAGGTTGGGTTGGTGCCTTGGCTGAGCTTCCAGTGACTTTGGTAGGCTATCAGGCATGTTTCTTTCACTTTCATGGAGGTTTGAAGGAGGGTTGGGCCATAATCAAACTGGGTCCCGTTCAAGTTCCTGTATTTTTCTAGGAGTACCTTCCCCATTCTTTCCAGGGATCCTTCTTTCTAGAAAACTCCGGAAACCCCGGGAAAACGGATCCGTTTTTTGGAAAGAACGGTGGTTGAACAGAATGGAAAAGGAATGAACCCCTAGAACCACCAATTTTCCACCGCCATGGAAAATGGCATCACACCTGTAAAACCTCAAATCCTTTTCGTGGACTTGGGGTACTTTTGCTGGACTTTTTGGGGTCCCGTTCAAGTTCCCGTATTTTGCGGTTTCTGATTTAGACTGCTTTTTGTTGGCCCTGGTGGCTTGGAGGATGTCACTTACCCAATCAAACCCAAGTGGACTGGACGACTTCGAAGCGACACGAAGCAAGTCAGAGGCTTCTCCGTCCTGGCTTCCCACAGAGGAGATTACACCCTATGCGTTTCCATCTTTGCCTAAGAAAGTAGTTGTTTATATGTTCCCTGGTTGGTTCTACCAGGAATTTGTCACTACTGGAAAAAGATGTTTATTTATTTTTGTCCAGGGTTAAGAGCAAATGGAAGTATAGGAGCCCCTACCCCAGAAAGTCTTGCTTTGGTTTCCCGTTCACCAACCCCCAAAGAAAGCACACTAGAAAAATGCCAACTCATGTTTAGGTTCCGGCAGATATTCAGGAGACCCTGCTTCCATATGTGGTGGGGGGGCATTCTCAATGATGCAGCCCTTTCGGGGTGGGTTTGAATCATGGGGGCTGGGGAGGGAGGGGAGGGGGAGGGTGCCCAAATAAGCTATTAAGCCCTTATTTGGGGGGTATCGGGGCTCCCTCCCCCCCCCTCCCTCCCCCCCAGCCATGATTGAAGGGAAACCCATTTGAGGTCTCCCTATTTTGAGGTCTCCGTTTGATCAGTGGCCATGCCTTTACCTACTCTAGTGGTCAACTGGAAGCCCCTTGGTTCTTTGGTTCGGTTCGTGTTCTCACTTCCTGAGTTCCGTTCCGGAGACTAAAGTCACTTTTTGGAACGACGTAAGTATAACAAGTTCTTGGATTTTGTTTGGCCAATCCACTCAGAAAATGAGTGCTGAGTGTTTGGCTGAACAACATAACCAACTTCTTTGAGACCCGGACTTGGCGGGTTCGCCAATGCCTTAGACTTGTTGAGCTCCGGCTCGTGATTCCTGGGGCATCCCAGTTCGGGTACCCGGAATAGGCGGTTTGGTTTGGGGATTTGAAGCCCAGTTCCCCTTGAAACCAACTGGGGAAGGTACCTTTGACCATCCGAACCGCCAAACCAAAACCACCGATTAGTTTGAAGGTCATGATCCCCAAGTTGTGTCTCAACATGGGAAGGCCCCTTTGTGGTCTCCTCATCCCCTTCAAATTGGAATTGGGGGGGAGGATCAGGTTTGGCAATTTCCAGCCCGGTACCAAACCTACGGTCCAAACCACCGAGCAAACCACCCAATAGGGGCAAGGTGAACTCAAGCTACTAGTAGGTTGTCCTTATCAACTTAATGTCTTGGGGGGTGCCAAGATAGAAACTGGATCACCAAAGGCGAGGCGTTCCTTTGGGTTTCTCTTCAACTTGCTGGTGCGAACTCGGCATGGGATGAGAAATGGCTCATGACCCCAAGACAAACCATCCCTTGGTGCTTTTCTGAATACGGGGAACCTATCGCTCCTGGGAGTTCATTCCCTCATTCCCTTCCTATCGCAGCAGCAAGTGTTGTTCAACGGGGAGAAGGTTCGGAACGCACCAAGTTGATTCGCGAGCCTGAAAAGGCCTGAATGCCCTTGAGGCATGGATCAACGAGTAAGATAAAACAACTCGGCGGATGTGCTGTTTCTTTGTTTCTTGTTTCTTGTGTTTTTTGGTTTTTGTTCTTTCTTTCTTTCTTTCTTTCTTTCTTTCTTTCTTTCTTTCTTTCTTTCTTTCTTTCTTTCTTGGTTTGTTTGTTTGTTTGTTTGTTTGTTTGTTTGTTAACATGTTTCTTTCTGTGGGTGTGGGCTTGAAAGGGAGAAAACCCTCCGACGATTGGGTTTTTGTTTGGTCTTCAGGTTAATGCGTAGGATGTGTTTGTTTCTTTTTGACAGGTCAGTCTGTTTGGAATTTGTTGGTTTCATGATAACTGTTTATGTTTAGGCTACATGTTGTATGTGTTTGTTTCTGTTTAGGCGTCCTTTTGATTTGTATGTTCCTCGCAGGCTCTATGTCAGTTTGTTGGAGCACTTAGCGATGGTTTTGAGCTTCTCCTGCCGGCTTTTCTTTGCGTGGAAGCTTGGTTTGTGCGAGTGGACTAGGGAGTCCCCTAGGTGATATGCATAGAGACACCATGATGGCTTGTGGCTCGTTTTTTTGAGGGAGCCGCTTTTTGATTTTGGTTTTGGTAACAAACAGAATCAAATCATTTTGGGGGTCCCTGAATCTTGAGAAAAACTCATATAAAAACTCAACCTTAAAGTGTAAGATATCGAGGAAAGACCATGGTGCAAATAACAGATACCAAAGTGGTATTGCCATCCCACCATGGCCTGAGAGGCTGTGGACGAACCACGTTTCAAACGGTGTCAATGTGAAAAACGTCTTGGCGTCATGCATATCACTCAGGGGACTCCTTTGGACTCTCACTCATTCCGAATGTCCTTGCTGGCTCTCGGAATGAGAATTGGGGTTTGACCCCTTTACCAAAGAAACAAACATTCCCTGCGGTTTCCTGGAAGGGAATCCCTGCCAGTTCATTCCCACCAGACTCAGAGAATTGGAATGACCCCTTTAGAAAAAAAACATCCCTTATGGTTTTCTGGAAGGGGAGCCCCTTATCTTGGTTGTTGTTGGGAAACATTTTTCCCGTTTTTGATCTTGTTGTGGTTTAGTGGTTTTGGATTCTAATTACTTCCCTGCTAAAATTTGTTTGAATTTTTGCTCCCCAAACTCAACGTCAACCAAGTGGTAAGACTCGTTTTTGGTGTACCCCGAAGGGTTGGCCTCTGCTCTTTCTGGTGCCCTTTGAGCTTTGCTCAGGGAGCGGCGTGGCGGTGCCGGTCGCGCAAAGCGTGATGAGCCGCTCGGACTGGTCGTATCCAGGGGTGGGCAGGTAAACCCATGGTTTAAGCGACTCAAACTGTCCAATGAGAAATAAACCAGTCCCTATAGGGGGCGTTCCCTCAAAGTGGTGACCCCCCACTAGAAAAACAAAGAGAACCCTCGATCAAATCAAGCAGGGGTTTTGCTTAATCCGGGGTTCCCATTAAACTCTGCTTTCAGCTTCCCTACAAAGGTAAGTGGCCACGGTTGTTTTGCTTCAGGAAGGGCCTAGTGGTAGGAACCACGGGTCTGGCTGAAGACTGTTTGCTTTTTCCCTGGGACAAGCTTGGGGCCATGGTGGGGTACCACCAGAAGGGAAGGGTGAAATATCAAGCTGGGGGGGTGGGAGTGTGTGTTTTTCCCATCGAACTCTGGCCGTTTGGGCGGCCTATATTTTTATCCTTCTTGTTTAACGCAGCACCTGTTGATTGCCCGTGTCAAGTGTCTTTAAGTGCGATGTTTCAGCGGGGAAATATATCGGGAGCCTTTTTGTGGCCTGGGAATTCTTTCGAGGCTACCCAAAGGAAGGCAGCTGTCGTCATGCGAGCCCTCAAAGATGAGGCTGTTTGTCGTTCAAGCTGAGGGTGGACAGGGCATACGCGACTACGACCGTCCACGGGCCCGTGGGCGACGGAGTTTGCCGAGCCTCGCCGTGCGCCGTGGGCCATCGCCGTACCTCGCGCTCTCGCCATCGCCAGCTTCACTCGCGGCGCCGCCGTAACTCGAGCTGTCCGCATCGCGGACGGCGGGTCAACTTGGAAGGGCCCAGGAAGATGGGTCCAGAATGTTGGTCCGGCGATGCTTGAGTTGACCTCCCGGAATTTTAATGAACAACAGGTTGGCTCCGGGGTTGACATTCTTGAGAAAGGAGGTTTCCAACGTGGGGGGTCCCATTTGTCATTGATATTGGCATGTGCTTTCAGTTGTAGTAAGTTGTTTGGTAGTGTCCATGTTTCATGAGCAATCTCGCATGACAAGGGTTGGAAAGGATATTCTAGTTTCCTTTTGCTAGGTTGCATGGTAGGGTCTAACTTTTGATCCAGCTCAGGTTGTTCGTGCTTAAATGCAATGTCTGTTTCCATTTTGGTTGGAGGGCACCCAAACAAACTGTTTAGCAGTGGGTTGGCATAGGTCCAACTCAAATTGATGCCGCAATCCGTGAGCATACGCACAAACAAACAAGCAAAAACAGAAACAACCACAATCACACAACAAAGACACAGACACAGACACAGACCACAGACCACAGACACAGACACAGACACAGACACAGACAGAGAGAGACACAGACACAGACACAGACACAGACACAGACACAGACACAGACACAGACACAGACACAGACACAGACACAGACACAGACACAGACACAGACACAGACACAGACACAGACACAGACACAGACCACAGACCACAGACCACAGACCACAGACCACAGACCACAGACCACAGACCACAGACCACAGACCACAGACCACAGACCACAGACCACAGACCACAGACACAGACCACAGACCACAGACCACAGACCACAGACCACAGACCACAGACAACAGACACAGACACAGACACAGACAGAGAGAGACACAGACACAGACACAGACACAGGCACAGACACAGACACAGACACAGACACAGACACAGACACAGACACAGACACAGACACAGACACAGACACAGACACAGACACAGACACAGACACAGACACAGACACAGACACAGACACAGACACAGACACAGACACAGACACAGACACAGACACAGACACAGACACAGACACAGACACAGACACAGACACAGACACAGACACAGACACAGACACAGACACAGACACAGACACAGACACAGACACAGACACAGACACAGACACAGACACAGACACAGACACAGACACAGACACAGACACAGACACAGACACAGACACAGACACAGACACAGACACAGACACAGACACAGACACAGACACACAGACACAGAGACACACACAGAGACACACACAGAGACACACACAGACACACACAGAGACACACAGAGACACACACAGAGACACACACACAGAGACACACAGAGACACACAGAGACACACAGAGACACACAGAGACACACAGAGACACACAGAGACACACAGAGACACACAGAGACACACAGAGACACACAGAGACACACAGAGACACACAGAGACACACAGAGACACACAGAGACACACAGAGACACACAGAGACACACAGAGACACACAGACACACAGAGACACACAGAGACACACAGAGACACACAGAGACACACAGAGACACACAGAGACACACAGAGACACACAGAGACACACAGAGACACACAGAGACACACAGAGACACACAGAGACACACAGAGACACACAGAGACACACAGAGACACACAGAGACACACAGAGACACACAGAGACACACAGAGACACACAGAGACACACAGAGACACACAGAGACACACAGAGACACACAGAGACACACAGAGACACACAGAGACACACAGAGACACACAGAGACACACAGAGACACACAGAGAGACACACAGAGAGACACACAGAGAGACACAGAGAGACACAGAGAGACACAGAGAGACACAGAGAGACACAGAGAGACACAGAGAGACACAGAGAGACACAGAGAGACACAGAGAGACACAGAGAGACACAGAGACACACAGACACACAGACACACAGACACACAGACACACAGACACACAGACACACAGACACACAGACACACAGACACACAGACACACAGACCCAGACACAGACACAAAAACACACACACACACAGACACCACAGACACCACCGATGCACAGACGCACAGACACACAGACAGACAGACACACACACACAGAGACACACACACACACACATACACACAGACACAGACACAGACACACACCCACACCCACACCCACCCACGCACCCACGCACGCACGCACCCCCCAACGCATGCACCACGCACGCGACCGCGAGCGTGAACGCGACCGCGAACACAAACACGGACACAGTCACACAGGCACAACCACACATAGATAACCACACGCACGCACACACACCATATCTTCCCACCCCAGGTCTCATGTTCATTCACAACAAAAGGAATCTTGCGGGGAAGAGCATCGGCAAAGGCAAGGTTCTCCAACCCTTTTGAAGGGATCCACTGAGCTTGGCCATCAAGCATCCTTGACTTGACCAAGACTTTGGCTGCAACACGACCTCACCGTGATGGTATGGCTGTATCATTTGCAGATTCCCGGACCCTCAAAATACTATAAGGCTCGCAATGATGAGTTAGAATCGGTTTATTGGGTACTTGCAAAACCATACCAAGTCAAGATCACCAGATGATCATGCGCATAGGTGTCCTTTTCGGTTGATTTGGTTGAAACATAGAGGGCCCTGGTTTACCTGGTGGTTCAATCAACTACCAGGGCCATCTGCTTTTTCCCAAAAAGGGCACCTATGATCTTCCCCAATATTAGCTCCCCTTTTTCCTTTCTTGCTTTTTTGGGGTTCCCTTTGTTTTCCACTAACCAGGCAAAATATATATATATATAAATAAATATTGCTGGGGTCCCAATTCCAGCCTAGTGATCATGCGCGTATTGCGTCTTTCCGTTTCTCCACGGTCGGATCGCCCGCGTCTCGCCTCCGCGAGGCCCGGCGCCCAAAACCCGCAGCAGCGTGTCGCCGCCGCCGGGGCGCGTCAGCGTGTCGCCACTCAGGAGCCAGCGGGTCCCAAAGCGCGGACTTAGCCAACGGGACTTAGCCAAATGGTTAGCTTCCAGGGTTGTGGGATCAAGGGGTTCATTCCCACTTCTGTGATACCTTCGGGAATCTCCCCCTTTAAAAAAGGGGTTTCGTCTTTGAGAGGCCCTTTCTGTTGTATCACAGATTCGTGGATTCCACCTGTTAGCTTCCGTTTGCTTTATACGTTTCCCCCTGGTTTTCGGGAATCTATCACACATATGTTTATGCAGGCCCTAGGAAATGCAAGGTGAGCTTTGGGTCTGGGTAGAGAGGGGAGTTATGGCTTGGGTGGGATACCGGAGCTACAACCCATTGCTTTGCTGGGGTTACAACCATGGCTTTGGTGGGACCCCTATTGGCTTTGGTGGCTTAGAACCATTTCAACAAGTCCGGGACTCCCCGCAGGCCACGTAAGTTGAGTCGGAGTCGGGAGCAGGCGAGCCACCGCTGGCCCCCCCTCCCGAGAGGATCATGCGCTCGGACATCTCCTCGTCGCCACCAGCGCGGCCGCCGGAGACCCGGAAGAACCCAATATGAGCCAGAGTCAAAACCCGGTTGGTGAGGGAAAAAGATCCAACCGTAAATGCTTACCTCTTAAAAACACAACTTTTCAACTTTTTGGGTAACACGGGCTATATGTCTGTAAAAGCTGAACTTCCCCAGGGCTTGGAGTTTTAAGGGGTAAGAATAGGTGCAGCCACCTTCTTAAGTCTTTACATTGTTCTGGGTAGACCCTCGTAGTGCCGGGTTTCATCATGACTCAGAATGGGTGAGTCTGAGTCTTTTTTTTTGGACCCCCACCAAAAAAATAGTGATTTTCCTTTTGGTCCTCCTTTACTCCCCCCCCTGCAGTGGAGACAAGAAGAGAACAAGAAGACAGACCCCCGTCTCCAAATCGGGCACCCCATGAGGTGGCTTCCTGCGGGTGTCCCTGAAAGAAAAAAAACCCAAAGCTCGGGTACCGTTTCCTGAAATCCCGAAAAAAAGACACACCCGGTTGGGCACTCTCGCATCTTCAGCGCTACCACAACTTTTGCCTCGGGTGGAGTGGTTCCCCTTGGCGCCATCGCTTGGGATCATGTTGCAGCTTGTTTGCCGCGGAAAGATGTACACCCTAGGTTTAGGGGCGAGCTAAGATTGAGTACCGGCAAAAAGGGTGCCCTCTTCTTGCGATGGCCATGGATCATGGGGGATCCTTCACTTTGCACAGATCATAGCGAGCTGAAGCAATATTGCGCTGATGAAGGTTCCTAAGTATAGCCCAGTGCTTCCACCTACCACTATAGTGGGTAACCAGGTAAGATTACCTCTTGGTTTTACATGATGTTTTGTTTAGAGTTATATTACCTAGTATAGTGGCTTGGTTGGAAGCACTGTTGTACTTTCCCCCCAGACCTTTGGGGTTTGGCTCAGGTTCTGCTTAAATCCGGTGAGGTTTACCTGGAGGAAACCTGGGGAATGGGTCAAGCTGGGGTTCGGTGAAGCATTTGCTCAGATCCCAGGCGTTTCGTCTGATTCTTGAAGGGTTCGCTTCACCCCCCTGCTCTTCGCTTGGGTGTGCTCTTCAACTGATATGGCGGTTGGTCAAAACCAATGGTACCATTTTGGTTGGTAGGTGAATTCACCACCCATTTTAGTCGGGATTTTAGTGGGGATTGGGATGTTCACTGGGGGTACGATTTGGATTTTGACCCATGGCCAGGGAAGAGCCACGTAGTCAGTCAGAACCTGAAGGCAGGCCTCTATCTTTCACCGGAACGGGTGAGCCAACTCTTGCCTTCGCCCCAGGCAAGGCCCCCCGGTTTTTGACACCGGTTACAAAGCATCTGGCGCTCACTCCCAGATCTGAGTAAGAGTTTTCCACTCCAGGTCTCCACATCATCCAAGCATCATCCAGGTAGGATATGGCCATGAGTTTTACTATGGAACCACCTCAACAGTGGTTGGTGGACATGAATCCCCACCATGTCCACCAAGGGGTCCCGAACTAAAGTTCATGCGCAAATGGGAATCCAGATTTGCCAGATCACCTTCTCTCCTCGAATTTGAATTCAGGGTGGCGCTGTCGCCACAGCCATGGAGGCCCAGATGGGACCGGACTCGTCACGCGTGGAGTTAATTCGTTGCCTAAGTTCCTGGACTTGACACACTTTTTGGGAAGGCCATGCTAGCGGGCAAGTAAGAAGTTTGGACTTTTCTGCAATCCACTCAGGAAGTGAGGTATTGTATAACATGGATAGACCTGATGTACCAGACGTAGACGACTTTGCACCCGGGGTCGCGGCACTTGATACTGACCCGAGACTGGCAGGAGCACTGGACCGAGACTGGCAGCACATTCCTTCGTGAAGTTCCGGCAAAAACTTCCACATGCCTCCGGGAGGTCGATGCACCATGCTGCCATAAACATTTACGAGTGGTAGGAACATTGCATTGTTTGAGAGCAGCAGAGTTCTGATGAACGCCGGTGTACAACTTCCGAGTGCATTCGCCAGAATGGGGTGAGCGAAAACATGTTTGTTCAATCACAGCTGGTAGTCCCTTTTGGTTCCTGGTTCTTTGCCTAGCTGAGAAGAGTACGTTTCTCTTTCGGAAAGGTCCACTTTCAAAGCAGGATGCTGGGAACAAACGCAACTCAGGTCGCGTCCTGTGTTCAGGAGTTTGATCAGAAAGTTCCAGATTGCAGTGTGGGTTCCAGCGAATGTTGCATTGTCGCACCATGAGCGTCAAAGCCTGGCGTGGTACTTGTGTGGTCGGCCAAGTTGGTGCTTAGTAACCTGCATCAGGGTTCTACTGTTTGACGATCTCAGGATGGATTAAACCCAGGGTGGCTCATTCCCACCAAAGAGAACCCCCTGGGTTGAAGTGTATGTTGGGGTAGTCAAGAGGTCCTACTCACCGCTGGGCGAATTCCCCTGGAGACTTGCAAGTAGGGTGTAGCCCAGGTTGCTAACCGCTTCCTAGCTGCCGAACACCCAGGCCTTGGCCGACCACCCAAGTAACATACGGAAAACTGCCCTCCTTCCAACCAACATGGAAGTGTACGATGAGGGGCTTCCCCACAAGGACAGTAGTAGCTTCCATGCCAGGAGGGTAGAGGGTTTCCCGAAATAGGTACCCAAAATGGCTTGCCCTGGCAAATGGACTTGGACTAAAATTCCTGCGGTCCAATTCCCGCTTGACCCGTACCCAGCAAGTCGATTCAGGGCGCGGGGCCGGCTGACAGACGGAGCGCTGGTCAGCCCAGCGGTTTCCCAGGCGAACGCCAAGCTCGGGCGAATGGGGGTACTTGGCTCGGGGGTGGCAGGTGGTGATAACTGGGTCCCCCAAACTTCGGGGCCCAAGAAGGGTACCCGTAAAATCTCAGCTCTCTACTGGAGGACCTAGAGAACCTACTTGTGTGTCCAGCCACAATCAACACCCGGGTAGATGGTTCGGTTCGGGGCCAAAACAAAAATCCCAGCCACAAAGCGCTGCGACAAATCCGCCTTCATTCTTGAAACATGGTTCTGGGTTCACGAAATTTGAATGCCGGGTTTTGATTGTGGCTCAAGTGGTGATCACCTACTTGTAAGTCCCCCAAGTGGAGTTGGCCCAGCTGCAAGTAGGCCTACCCGGGTGACCAACCACCAACTTGGCCGACCCGAGTAACTCGAGTATGAGTCAAGGGCAGACATCTTTTTGAGGCCTCAAAATGGATCTCTCTGAGAGGGGCAGCCTCAAAATGGTTGGGTTCATTTCGGGCTTCCCGTCAAAACCAACCAAAGCAAACTCGCCCAAAAAGATCACCCCATCTGCTGTGAAAGTATTGTAATCCCAGCCACGGGTCCCCAGAGTTGGCGATTCCGGAGGTTGGTTGGGTGTGCCTTTTTTGCATGGTACCCCGTCTTGTTGTTTTCAAGGAAAACCCAAAGGCAAATCGATGCCATTTTTGGCGGGTCCGATTCCTCAAGGAAAGCGCACACCATACCCAAAGCTTTGATGCTTGTGAAAAGCTCGGGAAACTCTCCAAGGAACCGACAATTGGTTTGGCAGTTTGGTAATTGAGAAGGGTGGGCTCACCCAAATTTCCACAAAACCAGGGGCGGAGACCAAATTTCGAGGAAACTGTGTGTTTTGTGTGTGTCCGGCATTTGTGTCTCTGTTGTTTTTGGATTTCGATCTCCCAATTAGCGGTTATCCTTTTGTTGTTTGCTTTAAACCACAAAACAAAGGGTCAAGTAAAGAATCGGCCCAACTGTTGAGTCTTACATTTGAGGGGATGCTACAAACAGAGAGACAAGCAAACCAGAAAGGGGAATGGAATCTCAATAAATGGCCATGAATTTACGTTTTTTGTTTGGCCAATTAAGAGTTTAAGGCTTAGCTTGGCTAGAATTAGATGGATTCCACTGGTTTAGATTTGTTTTATTCCATGTACCAGGGCCACATGTTTTCAAAAGGTCCCTACGGCTGCATTCCATTTTGTTTTTAATGGACCCAAAGTTTCGAAAAGAGATTCCATGGATTTCAGCTCACTCAGGCTTGTTCTTCTCCGATGTAAATGCGCGGCGCATCATTTTTTGGTAGTTGACCTCCATGGTGCCAACGTGGATATCATCCCCGGACACCCAATGCCGCTTTTCTTGGGTTTTAGGAAGCTGGGGTGTGGGAAGCACAGGGGCCTTAGGGTTCACGTGGCCCAATTTAGATGCTGATATTCCCAGAAAAAAAAAGAAGAAAAACAAGGGGAAAACACATGGTTCATATAGGGGGACAAGCGCGGGTTAGCACTGGTTTACTCCAACACGTGTTTTTTTGAAGCACCCCTTTCACCCCATTCTAGTGTTTCACCGAAATTTATATGAGGTTGTTTCAATGGCGTTTCAATGGGGTTTATATGATATGAATTGAGCCAGGTTTCAGATGGCAAAGAAAAGGACCTCGAATTGGTTTCCATGGCGCTTGGACCCCGTTTCCGCCAGGCGGTGTCACCACCCAGGCTCCGGCCTTTCGGATGGGCTTGCGGAATGGGGGAAGGGGGGGGGGCCTGGCTCCTGCCACCTTCAGCTTTTTTTTTGGGGGGTGGCTGGGGGCAGCAGGGGGCAGGGGGGGCAGAGGGGGGGGGGGTCCTCAAAAAAGATAGATAAATTTGTTTGCCGTCCATGAAAGAACACCCCACTCCCACAAGCTCAAGATGCGAGCCAGAGAGAATCAGGGCATTTGGCCCTGCAACAACCTGGGAAACTCGTTTTCGCGGCAAACAGAAAGTCCAAGGACTTTGTTGGCCAACCTCGATCGGAAGTGAGGAAAGGTGGGGAATGGCAAACCAACCCAAACCTTTGGTTTCGGTATTTGCGGCTTGATGTTGAACGGACTTTTGGTGTCTCATGGGATATATATGGATCCTGCAAAATGGGCGCGACTCGCGACTCGCGCGCCTGCCAAAACGACGGCCAAACAACCCAAAAAGAGTGATTCGGAGGGGTGGTGTGTCTTCGGATTTGAAGACCCTCTCTCCCACGTTGCCACACCTGACATGGACCCGGTCCCTCCAAGACTGATCTTCCAGGTACCCTCCTGGTGCCATAGTTGGGAGGGTATCTCGTGGCACTTTCGGCCCGGCAATCTATTCCGAGACCGATTCCGAGTTCGAGAACAGCCCGTTGGCCCCTTCAAAGATCAGCTGATTTGAGCCTGTCAACAAATGAAGCCTCAAGGGCCAACAGCTTTTCTTCTTTTTTTTCTTCTGGATGGTACTGTTAAGGTGGAGTTTTCACTTGGGTGGTCGGCCAAGACAGAAAGTGGTGAGATCCGCAAAGTGAAGTTTCTGAAGAAAAGCTATTATTTACAACATCCAGAGGTCAACCCCATCTTGAGAATCTTGGCCCGCACATGCTAACACAAGCACAAGAGGATGCTGCTCCCAGGCACGCAGCAGTTCAATGCACGGCTCCCATGCTTGGACACGTAGAGTAGGGATCTCTGTTACTACCCACACACCCAGTTGGGTATGGGTCAAAATGAAACCACCAGGAATTGGACCGCAGGTTGTGGTCCGTGTTTCCACTTACTAGGGTTCCAGTTGTGGTACCTATGTTTGATGCACAGCCAATTGAAGGTTGTTCCCAACTGCGATGTTTTTCTTTTTGTTGGGATGAGTTCAACATAGGAACGATTGCCTTTGGAACAGCTCCCAGCTGGGAGGTTTGGTTTGCTTTGATACCTCGTCTCTTCCCCTTGTGCTTCCCTTTCGTTGCCATTAGTTCCCTTTCATTTCCCTTCTTGTAGCCCTTGGCATCCCTTTTCCTGTGGACCAGATCCTGACTCAAGAAGCCCTGGTGGCTGATTCGATTCCCCCCAAAAAGTCCCCCACATCCTGCACAACTCAAGAAGCCCTGATTCGATTCCCCGCAACAACGTTTTCCACCCAAGCCCTCTGATTCGATTCCCCATCCCGTTTCCGCTTCGGTGTCAATCGTTCGGCTCATTTCGTGGCACCGAATCAATTCGAACCCTCCAGGCCGGAGAGGCTCTGGGCGGCGAGGCCCGCATGCCGAATGCGCTTTGGGTCGGAAGTTCGGAAGGGTGCCCTTGCCCAGAGCCTTGACTGCTACTGGGCAACGGATCTTTAGACTTTAGCTTGTTGAAATTAAGTTGGGTTTTCCACTAAACCCCCCAGAAAATGAATTAAGCTTCTTGCAGGGGGTCCTGCCAGCAACCAAGTTGCATTTCGCCTTTTTCTCAACTTTTTCTGGGAGGGGCTCCCATTTAAAGTCAACCAATCGACATGGATGCCGATTCTTTTTGTTCTCCCGTGGAAGTCAATATTTGGCATCCGAGAACCTGGAACAACTTACAACTAATTTCAGGGCCCTCGTGGGATTTTGCTTCAAAATCACTTGAGCCACAATCAAAACCTGGGTAGATGGTTCGGTTAGTAAGGGGCAGTCCCAGCCGGAAATAGTTGCGGATATCCGGCTTTCTATTTCTTGAAGCATGGTTCTGGGTTCACCATTTTTGAACCCGGTTTTGAGCAAGTGACTCACTTGGTTTGAGAACCCGAGTTGACAACTCGGGGTGTGGTACGGGGACTGCCAAGCCCCAGAACCCTTAAGGTAGGTTACCCTAGGGTAGGTCATAATGTTACCCCGGATCTAAGTAGAACCCCTGGTTGATTTTTATGGGGGGGTGTCCCATTCCTTTTAGTGGGGATTCAGACCACTTTGGGAGGGGTTTCCACCCCCCTAATAGTGGGACCGGTTTATTAATCCGGGGTCAACATTAATTTATATCCCAGGTTACGAACGACTTACTAACTTCTCCAAACACCGAAGTTTAGGCTTGATGTTGTGTCCGCAGTAACCACCCCCTGTTGTTGAAACGGGCTGGTTTGTGGCCTCTCCAATAGTGGTCCAAATTCCCCACTGAGCCGAAAAACACCCGCCTGTCAACACACAGGGGTTTGTTAATCCGGGGTCAACATTTCGGATTTCTTCCCTGGCCCAGTGCATCCATTGACCTATATAGGTAGGAACGATGGGAACCACCCGATATAGAAACCGCAAGGAGAATAGCTGGCGACCCTCTATAGTGGTTGCTGGGATCACAAACAAGAAGATGACCGTTTTGCCCACGCAAGGAGCAAACGAGCAAAGTAACATGGTGTTCAATCATCAGCTACAGCAAGTTCGCCAAACACCCACCGAAAACAAATATGTTTCTTCGTTTAAAAAAGGAACCAACATGGAACATGGGAATCACACATTGTAGGAAAACAAAGGGACCCCCAAAAAAGCAAAAAAGCGAAAAGGGGAGCTAATTCTGGGGAAGTAAAATGGTCCAAATGGTTTTAAGTCTCAGGAAGTGAGATGCTCACCGATTGCCTCTCCACCTAGCAATCAAGAGAACAGCCATGGGCCTGGTGGGCTCAAGATAGATCTCTCACCAAACCGCAGGGCAGGCAACGTTGGCTTTCGACATTCCAACCCCGAACGGCGCAGGAAATGGCCCAAAGAAAAGAGATACTGCCAACTCGGTGGGCCTACGACGGCAAAACGGGTTTACAGAGCTGGGAAGTTGCACTAAGAGGTTTGTGCAACTTCCCAGCTCTGTAAACCCGTTTTGCCGTCGTAGGCCCACCGAGTTGGCAGTATCTCTTTTCTTTGGGCCATTTCCTGCGCCGTTCGGGGTTGGAATGTCGAAAGCCAACGTTGCCTGCCCTGCGGTTTGGTGAGAGATCTATCTTGAGCCCACCAGGCCCATGGCTGTTCTCTTGATTGCTAGGTGGAGAGGCAATCGGTGAGCATCTCACTTCCTGAGACTTAAAACCATTTGGACCATTTTACTTCCCCAGAATTAGCTCCCCTTTTCGCTTTTTTGCTTTTTTTGGGGTCAAAAAAAGTTGTTTTTTGCTGGGGTTCTAATTCCAGCCCAGCTTAGTGGGTAAATATCAAGTTTGGTTACTTGTCTCGCTTGTCTTGGCCAATTCTTTTGAGGAAGTGAGGCATCCTAGCTTATAAACTGCGCTTCATTCTAGGGGTTGATTCGTCTTCCATTCTTTTCAACCATCGTTCTTTCCAAACACCGGATCGGTTTTCCCTGCATTTCCGGAGGTTTTCTAGACAGAACCCCTATATAGATTCATGTGGCCGTGGGTCAAAACCAATGGTACCATTTTGGAGTAGGTGCACCACCCATTTTAGTCTATTTTAGTGGGGATTGGGATGTTCACTGGGGTACGATTTGGATTTCGACCCATGGCCATGTCACTTACGGGACCTTCCGCGTAGCAAAATTTGTGCCCGCAGAGATCCATACACCTGCCAGGGTGCAGCCTTCGGCGACTCCGCAAGCGCCGCTGCCAGGCATGCTGCGATCCGGTTCGACTGGGCGCCAGAGTGGGACTGAAAAATGGTTTACCCTCTTGGTCCCGACTGTTTTTGGACCCTCCAGCTGGGTTGTCGTTGAGGCCCCTTGAGGGGTTGGGCTTCTCCATTGGAGGGTCCGGGGGTCTGCATTGGAGGGGTTGATTCCCCGTCCTTTTAGCGGTAACTTCCCCGTCCTTGTTACCATTTGGTGCAACAATGACTCACCGACTAAAGGCACTTTTGCGGAGTCCCGGAGAAGGGACCTTTATTCTAGGGGTTGATTGCTCTTCCATTCTTTTCAACCATCGTTCTTTTCAAAAAAACGCTGCTTCCCTGGCTGGGTGATTGATGGTTTCCTGAAAAGAAGGATCCCTGGAAAGAATGTGGAGGCTTCCCCTAGCCAGAAGGGGGGACCTAAAAATGGTTTAGAAGGTTCTTGGGTGGTCGGCCAAGTTATATAGTGAGTGGTTTGTAACCTAGGTTGAAACCTACTTAGGTTTGGAAGGTTTGTAACCTACTGTGGATGGACAGCATCCATTTCGCACCACGAAATGAAACCATTGTTGAAACCAAACCGTGTATTGGTATTTTGCAGCAGAATCGTTTCTCCTTCCGGGCTTCTGAACGGTGCATAAGTTTTCGTCCACCCACAGGTGATATCCCAAGTTACGAAGAACTTAATGTTGACCCCGGATTAATAAACTAGGTCCCCCAGCTAGGTGCCCTTTCTCACCGTTTCTTTTTTGGGGGATGGTTCCCCTACTAAAATAGACTACAGAAAAAAGGGGTACCCTTATTCTAACCTCTCTACTGGAGGACCTAGTAAACCCCTGTTTATTAATGTGGGGTTGTTCCCCTCCAAAAGTGATGAATCCCCACTAAAACCAGCGCCACCCAGATTAGTAAGCAGGTGTTTACCAAGTCCGAACACCCAAGTTTTTAGGTTTCATGTTGACCCCAGATTATGTAACCTCGTCAGTGTATGTTAAGGGGTGGAGGCCCCTCCAAAGCTGGTCTGAATATTCCAACTCAGGGGGACCCGAAGCTATCCTAAACTGGGGTGCGCTTGAACTTGCTGGTTTCCATCGTTTGAGGGGTTTGGGGAATGAGCTGTTTGGCATCCCTACTAGCTCTCGCCATGCAGCTGGACGGTTCAGTTCGGGGTCATTACAACTCATTCCCTGCCTATCGAACCAGCAAAAGGGAAGCCACAAGGAGGTTGCTTGAGCGAAATTGGTTTGAAGAACTGTTGTACACCACCCTCTGCACGAAGAATAGGTGTCTAAACCATGGGATTAAACAGTGCCCCTTGAAGGCTCCACTTGGGCCAGTGAAATCAATTTTGCCAGCTGACTCAGAGGATCCGAATCCTGGTAAAGCATAATGTGATTCTTCGATATATCCGAGGAGACCCGTTGGTGTCAACAGGATAAAACACTTTCCGCCAAAAAGGAGGGTGCATGTTCGAGGACTTACTGAAATATCTGAAATGGGCCCACTGCTAAACCATCAGGGAAGGAACCTTGTCAGACAAGTGCACCACAACAAAATCCGAGATGAAGGTTACGGGACACTTCCAATCAGAAATGGATGCGGATATCAGCCCTTTTGGTTCTTTCCATGGATTTGGGTAGACCTTGTTGATACGTGTTTGGTTGTGACTCAAGTTGTTCAACTCACTCAGAAGTGGGTTCTATCGGGTGCATCTTACCACTAACTTGGCCGACCACCAAGCAACATTTCCCCGTCAAATGTTGATCTCCAGCGAAGGGTCCTGGTACCATGAAAGTTCACACCCAAACCTTTGGTGCATTTTGCTTGGATGTTAGGACTTTAACTTGTTACCAACTAATGGGTTTTCCATTGAACCACTAACAGTTAAACTCTTAGCAGGGGAGCAGAAAGCAACCGAGAAACCATCCCCGGCAAAAAGGAGCCCTGTTAAACCAGGAAGCAGAGCCCAAACTCTCCTGGTGGCCACTTGAGTACTATCAGGGTACCGATGAAGCTGAAATCAATGTGTTTTTGTTTGGGGCTGCTACTGTGGAGGGACGAGATCCTGCACCACCTTTCAGAAACCCGGGAATGATGATTTCCCTGTAAATACCAACGTACAACGCAAACAATGGTTTCAACCATGTGGTGCGAACGGATTTTGTCCTTCCACGGTATGTTTTCTGGGGTCGGCTGTTGGCCTGGAAACCAATAGAACCATGGCCACGAGCCAGTGCGATGCTTCGGACTGGAGAGCTCTAGAATAGCACCCGCGTCCTGTGCACCCGCAGCCTTCTAATTTGTTTTGGGGGCGTGATCAAACTATCAAACGAAAACCAGGAAGAAGAGAAAAACACAAGGGCAGGACCCTTTTGGGCGTTTCCTTCTCTCCTTTTCCTTTTGTTGGGCTCCAGCCACGGGCTTGCAGCAGTTCCGCGTGGTGGAGTTCTGACTATTTGATCTGGTTTGAAACGCAGGGGTTATTATTTTCACGGTTTCTGGTGGTTTTCAAAGTCAGAACATGGAATCGGTGGTGGCCGTTTCACCCATCACTGCTTTGATCATGGTAAAATACAGAGGCCAGTTTGTTGTAGGGCCTATACCGCCCAGAGTCTCCCGATTTGTTTAAAGGGCCCTCCAAATCAGCCCAGGTCTTTGCTTTTTCGGGTCCCAAACAGCGAAGCGGGGTTGAATGGAGGAAATGGGGCCGGGTCTCCAAAAGTTCTCTGGGAGACTAAAAAAGAAGAGAGTCGCCAAGCATGGCTGCTGTTTGGAAGCATCAAGCTTGTTGTAATCCATTTGTGGGGTCTCAAAGCCTGGCTTGAGGGCCCCCCGTTTGCAAGAAGTCGGGAGCCTCTGGGCACGTGTGTCCTGGGACCTCACACAAAAATCGGGAGCCTTTAGGTTTTGTGTTTCCTGGGAGGGGGCCAAAGGCTTCAAAATGACAGCCCAACTGGCTGAGGCTCAACAAGATGTACCCAAAATGGGTGCTGGGTAAATGGAAACAAAAACCAAGCCCTGCGCTTTGCCCTAGCTCTTAAATTTAGAGCCACGCCCAACTGGCTGTGGGTGAAAACCCTGTACCCTTGGTGAACATCAAAATAGATGGCAAATGGATGTTCATCCACCCCAAAATGGAGCAATAGGTTATGCCCCATGGCCAACTGGGTCTCAGGGATGCTGGCGGCTGCAGCTATGGCGGCCACCGCGGTAGCCGCGGCCAGCGCCGCCAGCGCCACGGCGCCGGTGGCGAACACGACGCTGACGCCGAAGGCGCGAGGAGTCGTTCCGTCAAAAGGCGAGGTGGCTTCGTGGAAGGGAAGTTTTTGGTTGGGTGGATGTATTTGGTTTCTCAAAATAGGTTCTGTTCATATCTAATATGTTCCAATTGTCAAGTGTTTAAGTTGGTTGTTGTTGGTTCTGGTCCTTTTTGGGGATCCACTGGGTTGGGTTGAAAGTTTGGTTCGCGACTAGCTGAAGGCTATGGATTTGGTCTTTGCACAGATGCTGGATGGTGGTTTGGGGCAGCTTTCAAAAACAACAATCAAGGGGGTTCCAGTGGGTTCCGGGGCTACAGGGAAGTCAAATGAAACCCAACTCTTTGGGAGCGGTCCAGAAACGGGAAACTGCGGTCAAGGGATGCGCCTGTTTTTGGTTGGGCACCCCCTAACGAGTAGGTTAAAAAAAGGTGAAAATAGTTACGGGCGATTGCGGGTAGGCTCATGTGCCTGCCTGATTTTGTTTGTTGTTTTTTCCTCCGGTTCGCACCACTTCGGGTGACTTTGATCATGGTAAAATAAGGAGGCCAGTATTGCAAGTGGGAAACTTGGGAATCCCTTTGTGTTTTTCATGATTGAGCCATGATGTGTGTGTGGTTGGTTTACTTGCAACGGCCCAAGGGTCATGCCCCGTGTGGCCTTGCGCTCGGCTCAGCTGAAATAAGTCAGGAACATCACCTAAATTATGGGAAGGATACCTGGTCGAAACAGGGGTCGGGGGTGGGGCGGGTGAAAACATCAAAGAATGAAGCGCCAGCACCCCCGCAACCGCTGCTTTTTGGAGAGTACTTTGCATTTTGGACAGGAAAACACAGTTGTTGGGGCGGTGCTGGCACCTTTGCGTCTGAGAATATGTTTTCCCCCTTGGTTATTGAGGGAATCGAGTTCACTACTGAAAATTATCATTTTTCCCAGGCGAAGTAAGCAAATGGAGGATTGGTCAGTACCCTACCGCGGGCGGACAAATTCCACGCACCAGCAAGTAGGTGGTTTCTCCATGTTTCTCCCATTATAGGGTTACATCCCCAGTGAGTTGGGCAGCTGTGAGGAAGTTAGAAGCGAGGTTTCTATCCACTTTCTAACTTGGCCGAACCTCAAAGTGGTCACCGCCGCCTGCACTGGCTCCCCTTGCGACTGGACTCCAAAGGAGAAAAAAGATGAAGGTGCTCATGGTCCTTGTGCTTTCAGTGAGCATGGTTGCTGTAGGCCCGCTTGGATTGTTTTTGAAGAGAAGCCCAAAGCAACTCGCCCTTGGTGATCCAGTTTCTATCAGGACTTTAAGTTGCTAAGGACGACCTGCTAGTATCTTTAGTTCACCTTACCCCAGTTGGTTTGCTTGGTGGTTTGGATGTTGCAGAGCACTTCCCCATTTGGGTTTCAAAAGAGCTGGGGTTCAAATTCCACCACCAATCCAAGCCACCAATTGAGGGTACCCGATATCAGTTGTTTGTTTTACCAAACATAAGGTACCTAACTTCCAGCTGGGGTCAAAAGGTACCCAGCGGAGCTGCAAGTGGAAGCCGAAAGCAACCACTTGACATCTTTGGCAGTCCAGTCCCCATGTGGGCGGCTCGTCTTTCATCGAAAGCTACGCCTTTGTTGTGGTTTTCAGGGAAAACCAAGAGGACCACCGCCGTGTTTGGGGTCACCCACAAAATGGAAACCACACCCAGCTGCTGTTCAAACAACCTCCTGTTGGTCCGCCTTTGAACTGGATTGCTCCAAGCACCCTCTAGAAGGATCCCTGGAAAGAATAGCGAGGTTACCCCTAGATTTTACTGATACGTAGACTTGCTTACCATGTCCTCAAGAGTTTGTGTCAAAAGGCTTGAGTCCTTTTGTGGGTAGATAATCATCTTCATTTCCGGCTCGTAAGCACATAGCAGTTTGTGTTGGCTTTGCTCATCAACTTAGTTGGCTTACCTGAAGAACCTATGTTCACTTCACCCTTTCCAGTCCATCAACATTTTGAATGCTATTGGGTTGGATCTTTAAACTTGAACTTTTTGGGATATCAATGGGGTTTGCACTAAGCCCCCCAAAAAGTTAATTAATTAAGCTTTTTGCAGGGGGGGCCCTTGCAGCAACCAAGACATGGGTGTGGCTCAAAGTTAAACAGGCGGAGTTACGCAGGTTTTGGCCCATGTTTTTCACTTACCAGGGTTCCATTTTGGGTACCGTTTTTTTAGCTACAGCCACACGGCTAAAAAACGCAGAGCAATGGAGCGAATCCCTTCGCTTGTGGGCGCCAATGGAGCAGGTCTACAAGCACAACCCGGTGCCGGCGTGTTGCCCAGCACCGGGGGTTTGGGGTTCAATTACTTCCATGTGAAATGGCTGTGGTTGTCAAAAGCAATGGGATCCCATTTTGGTTGGTAGGTGAATTCACCACCCATTTTAGGCTTTACCTTAGTGGGGATTGGTTGATGTTCACTGGGGCGATTTGGCTTTGGGTCTGTTTTATTACTTTCCCTTGTTGGTGTTGAAGGGAATTGATCACTCTGGACATATTTCCATTTTTTTCCCAGGGGGCTTAAGCTGCATTTGTCGATCCCAACACTAGGTCGTGTTTTGGGGTGAGTATGAACCAGACTCAGAAGATAGGAGTTTCTGTGTCCCGATGCCGGGCCAAGTTTCTTCCCCCTCACAGGCTAGGTGGCTAGTTGTCTAGATCATAACACTGGGTTGAGGACAAGACGCGGAAATAGCCCAACAAAAGTTGGTGGACCACCCAATGTCCCAATGTGTCGACGAGGAAACCAACCAATTTGGGGGGGCTGGGGAGCTGAGGGGAAGGGCTCGAAGGATTTCGAGCGAAAGGTTCATCCGCAATCTGACCGTCCTTGGGTGTATTTTGTTTCACACATGTATATATATATAAGGATATTGTCAGGTCAAGCGTCACAACACATCTATGGCAGCGAAGGGAATGCCGAGTCAGAAGGCGAGCAATGCTGCGCACTCGGCTTGCCATGGCTCAGAGCCGCACATCGGTGACAGCGAAATGATGGCCGCCGCCTCATTATCTGGTTATGTTGCCACGGTTGCGACTTGATGAACATGCCAGCGGTATGGACGTTCAAAGCCAGCAGCGTTTGCGGTCGACATTGCTCATGCAAGACTGGAGGCGCCCGCGAAGAGAGCGCGACTGAAGGAGAAGGTGGCGCCCCATGGCGGCGGGATTTTAGGGGAACCCTCCCCCCAAGAAAAGTTGGTAAAAGGGCACTACCGGAAAACCTAGGAGACCTCCTGAGTCAGTCGACCCGAATTCGCCATTCTCATTAGCCTGACAAATAGACTTGTTTTGGGGAGAATGCAGGGTTGATTGTGTTTCCATACTTTTCAATCATCGCTTTCCCGAATCTGGCACTTCCCTTTGTTTTTGGTGTGATGAAACAAAGGAAGCATGAAAAGCATGGGGAAGGTGGAAGAAGGTATCTTTGGAACCCTTGGACAATGATTCCCATCTTTTGTAGCTCATGTTGAAAACACACATATGAGTGTCTTTTGTTGAGGCTCCCCCTTTTTTTGGCTCTGGGACTGCGACGGAGCCCTGACTGCAATGGTTCTCGTGGCTTTCTTGGCTGTGTAACTCCCCAATTTTTATCAAAACCCAATATGCTGTCTGTTTTGTTGGAAAGCATCATGCATTTGAACCTACATCTGCAATGCTTGGTAGGGAAAATCCTGACTAGACAAACAAGAAAGCCTTGTTCTAACCTAAAATAGACAAAAAAAGACAAGACGTAGACACAAACAGACAAAAACTGTTCTACCTAAAATAGACAAAAAAGCAAAAATTGGTCGCCTTATTCTAACCTCTCAAATCTGGAGGACCTAGTCTCTGATTTTCTTGGTCCCCCAAGAACCCCAAGCAAATCCTGCGCCTGAGGCCGGCCGCGCTCAGGCCGGGGATTCGGGGGACGGTGATCGGATTCGGGGATTCGGGGATTCGGGTATCAAAGGTGTTTTTTTCCCGGGCGTGGCGACTTGGGTCGAAAAGGATGGCAGAAGTCTAGTGCTACCTTAGGACTTAAGGCTTTTGACCCAAACTCAAGTCTACTCAGAAAAAAACAAGTACCTTCCAATTCCATTCTGAATCCAGGGATCCTTCTTTCCAGAAAACCCCCGGAAAGCCTGGGAAACGGCCGGGTGTTTGAAAAGAACAACGGTCGAAAAGAATGGAAAAGGAATCAACCGTTAGGATAACGAAAGAAACCCCCACTTCGCGCTTGAAGGCAGCCGGGTACGGGTCCTGCCCCAAAATGATCCTCCGGTTGCTTAAGTCTTCTTGGGGAAAACAAGGTTTGGCTGTGGGTCAAAACCAATGGTACCGTTTTGGGGTAAGTGCACCCCCATTTTAGTCTATTTTAGTTGGGATTGGGATGTTCACTGGGGATACGATTTGGCTTTTGACCCATGGCCATTTATGTCCAGTAGTGAAAAATCGATTCGCTTTGAAGCCAGGGGAAAACAACACAAATTCCCGAGCGTTCTCAAGGAATATAGGGAAGTTATGGCTTGGGGCTTGGTTCGAGGGGGAAATTTGCCAAATTACAGATCCAGGGCAAATCCGCGAATCTGAGTGGACTTGGTCGGGTACGACTTGTGTCACATCCCAGAACATGCTCGAGGAGATGGGGGACACCAAAAGCCAGTTCCTTCCCTCACTCCGTGGTGGCTGGTTGCTTGATACGTGGGCTCATCGTTTCTCTTTTCTTAATGGGAATCGGAGCCCCAAAGGAGGGTTTTTTTCAGCCTCTTCAAGAACCACGGAAAAGCGGCCTCCAAACAGATGAGCCACCGCGGGTGGATGTCTTTTCTTGAGGGTACCCTTTTTGGCCTTATTCGACTTTTTCCAAGGGACGCCAAAACCAAGCCACAGCCCGACTCCTATTTTGAGACGAATCTGAAGACCCACCTCATATCTGCATGATTTGGGTCTGTGTTTTTGCTTGAGGCTCCGTACCGGATTGGTTGAAGCGGAACAGGAAAACCACCAGACTTGGCTTCCAACGGATCATACCCGCTTGGCTCTGAGGAGCCATGGTGTTGGTCTCCTCCAACATGAATTTGCGGTTTCAGGTTTACTTCCCAGCGGCTCCTGAAGCTTTCAATGGAAGCGTCAGACCCGGAGGTGTTTGGGACTTATTGCAAGAAAAACTCACTTGTCCAAAGCCGACCTTTTCATCTTGTGGTTTCCCTGATTTGGTCCCCACTACTTAGTCAAGGTTCCAGATGGCCAACCTTTTCTTTCCAGGTCCTTTGGGCAACTGAGTAAATGGACACCTCAAATATGCGACAATTCGCAGCCAAGTTGCAAAGGAAACCCTTCCACAGTTTGCAAGAGATACCGTCCTCCCAGGATAGTACCCAATCGCTCAACAGCTTCAAATGGCTCGTTTCATTTAGTTCGTTCCTGTTGCTTTCACATGTCAGTCGTGACTGATACTTCCAACTTACATGGCGCGTGAAGGGAGGCCCTGGTTTGACTACGTTCCTCTCGCGTGCGCGGTGTATGCAGGCGTACTTCCCTCAGCCTGCCAACGGTCAGGCATTTTTTTTGTTATGCCGCAAGGTTATGTGACGAAACTGAGAAAGGCGGTGTTCCCTTAGGTTCCCCCTTGCAACCAATCTCAAGGGCACCCTTCAAGACTTGCCCCTTGGACGAATGGACCGGATCAAAATGACCTTTCAGCCCCAAAAGCAGGGTTTCTTATCGAGGCATTTCCCTTTCAAGGAAAACTTCCCCAAGTGGCTTTCTCGTTTCAATGGGGTTTCTACCCGAACTTGGGGCCATCAACCTTCCTCCAGCGAGCACAAGAGAGGCCATCACCTTTTACATGGGGCCGTTGCATCCGGAGACGTGAGCTCGTCAGGTGGCATCCAGAGTCACCCTGCGGGAAGCGCAGTGGACGACTCCCAGGCTCTCCGGCCAGGGAACCCGCACCAGGTGAACAGGCGTTTGTTTCTACAGGGTTCCCTATGTTTCTCCCTTGGCAGGTGGTTTTAAACATCACCTTTTGGGCCCACGAATGGTGATTGTCCCTTGGTGGGGGTGATGTTTTAAGGGGATATGTTGTTTTGATTTTTTTCTTAGTTCCTGTTTCGCTGGTTCAAAGGGATACCAGAAGGAAATCCAGCATGGAGCCCGTTGGACTTTAAGCAGCGCTTGCGATCTCTTCATCAAGGTGCCCTTCGTGGGGAAAGGTCTAGTGAACCATGATGATTTACCCACCGCGCGCAGGGCCGGCACTCCAGCCAGCACGGTGCTGAGGCGGGTCCCGGTTTGGCGTTTTGGCGTTTCGGCGGCTGACTCAGACTCGGGGAATGGAAGGCAAGAGCAGGAGCTGGTGATTAGTTCTCCCACAAAATGGATGGCAAACGAGCAAATAGAAGGTTTCCACCTTAGGCACTTACCATGTGGGTAGTCCTATAATTCTAGGGGTACCTTCCCCATTCTTTCCAGGGATCCTTCTTTTCAGGAAATCATCAAAAACCCAGGGGAAACAGCCGGTCTTTGAAAAGAACGATGGTTGAAAAGAATGGGGAATCAACCCCTAGAATAATTTGCTTCGCCCTGCCCGGACAACGCGCAGACCAGTCGTTTGCGCCAGAGGAAGGGGAGTACTTGGACCCACGAATTTGTAACGGCCCCGTTCCCATATTCCTCCATTTGTTGAAACGAGTATTTGTTATTTCCCCTGTTGGTTTTAAAAGGAATTCATCACTACTGGAACATTTGTATTTTTTCCTGGGGCTTTAACCAAATGGAAGTATTCAAGCTGAATGTTGAGGGGGAGCTTCACGTTTTCCCGCGGGTTTTCTTCACGGGTTTTCCAGAAGGGGGTTGGGGTGTCGACGTTTGCGTGGCGAGTCCTTCGAGGTGTTGTAGGTGAACTTTATGGCTTGCAGGCAACTAGTGGATCCATTTTACCTGAGATAAGAAAAGAAACCAACAAGAAAACGGCTGCTAGTTACCCTAGGGTTCAACCTCCACTTGGTTGTTGTTGGGAAACATTTTACATTTTTGCTTATTGTGGTTTAGTGGGAAATCCCCACTTACCTGCTAAAATTTAATTTTTTGCTCCCCTTCCAACATCAACCAAGTCCAGAAGACTGGTTGATCCAACTTGGATCATGAAGTTCCTTAGGCAACTGTGGTTATATGAAGCTCATAGAAACCAGGCTACAGGTATTTCTCGGGCACAAATGGTCACCAAATGCAATGCTGTCTCGTAGAGTTTGTAACCCGTCCATTGCTTGAACTGTGGTTTGAATCCCAGGGTGTCTAGGTCCTTCAGCAATAAATAGACGTCCTGAAAAAAAGTTGGCACCCTTATTCTACCCTCTCTACTGGAGGACCTAATACAACCACCATTGCTTACCTAAGGAGTTTCATCCAACTTGGGTCCTTGCCATTATTTTCATTAAGGTTGAACATTGCTTTAACTGTGGTTTGAATCCCGCGTGCTGGTAGCCATCGGGCTATCGCAGGGTGGCGCCTCCGGCATTGGCGGCCGCCACCGCCCGGCGCGTGCCCGTGTCGCCGCAACAGGCCCGGGGGGCCCGGAAAGGGGGGGGGCAACAAAAGCCGCAGGGCGCTCGTGCTCAATTGGGCGTGTCTTTTTGTCAGGTTGGACCCACCAAAATTGTGGTTTTCGTTTTTGGGTTCAATGGGATTTTTCCGTGTATCCCGGATGTGGGCCAAGTTTGCCGGTTGCGCAAACAATAGGGACATGGCTGTGCTTCAATGTCCGATTTCTTGGATCTGTCAAAGCGGGAAGTGTCGTTGGGACCCACTGGTATCCTGCAACTTTCTCTGGGGAGCACGTAGAGTGATTGAGTAAACCAATGAATAGTATTAGACATATTTCATTTAAGTATATGTTGTCGTTTTTTTGTCCAATATCCATACACCACACCAGTAATTTAAGCTTCCCTGAAAGCTGCCCCACACCGCACCAGAGCCTATCTGGGCATAGGCGTTCAGCGGTTGGGGAAATACAAACAATTCTAGGGGTAACTGTAACTTCCATTTCCAGTCTTTCCAGGGATCCACCAAAAACCCTGGGGATATGCGATCGGTTGTTGAAAAGATCGATGGCTCAAAAGAAAATCAAGCCCTAGAGCAATACTTCCAAAAAAACATGGTTGGTAAGGGAGAACATGATTCAGAAGCTAGGGACTCTCTTGAGAATAGTCACCCAGCGATTGATTCCCTTGGGAGAATCATTGGTAACAAAGCCTGAACCAAGAGGATACAGGCTGACACTCTCCACAAAGCAGATCCAGGGGGGAGTGAAGGTTAAGGGATGGTCACCAGAAATGGGTGCAGCCGCCCTTTGGATTCTCATGGTGCTGGATCACGATCGATTGAAAAGCCGATCAGTTTTGACGGTGAGACAATTGAACGATACGCTAACCATGCTTGGAAGGAGGGTATTGTATTTTTATCTTTTGGGGTATCGACATTGCTGAACAACTGAAAACAACTTGCGTGGATTTCCAGGAACGAATGGGAGAGAACCATCAATTGGCACAAGGCTTGCATTTCCTGGTTGACATCCCCCGCTCTGTGTGCCAACTGTAGCTATTGATTGGGTATGCCAACTGATTGCTACTACAAGTCTGCCTTTGGAAGCCAATTAAATCCAATGCTTCCGGATCCACGATTGGTATTCAAACACTTCGGCGTGACAGATGCCCAAGAGGGCTCCAAAGCGATTTTCTACTTTCGGGTAGACTGAATATGGGTGTGGGTCAAAATGAAACCACTAGGGGGCCGCAGGTTTTAGTCAATGGTTCCATTTACCAGGGTTCCATTTTGGGTACCCACTTTTGACCCACAGCCCTATGAAGCAGGCTCATTTGTTTCTGCGTACCGCTTGTTTGTGCCCTAGCCTTCGGGAAGTTGCAGACAGAACCTTTTTTTTGCCCAAAGAGAGCCAAAACAGGGATGCCAGCATCTTCCAATGGCTACATGGAAGGTTCCATGGGTGTGGCTCAAAATTTTCAACACGAGGGGCAAACCGCAGGTTTTGTCTACCATGTTTCCACTAACCAGGGTTCCATTTTGGTACCGGTTTTTTGAGCCACAGCCCCATGGGAATTTTCACTTGGCTGGGCCGAGTCAAGTGGAAGGCCCCAACCCTTCGATCAGACCCTGCAGGGTTCGAATGGGTAGGGTTCCTGAAGGGGTTGGTCACTTCGGATGGGTCATGGGTCAAAAACAATTCAACCACCAAAAACACCGCAGGTTTTGGCCCTTGTTGCAATTACCCAAGGCAGTTTGGGTACCTATTTCTGACCCCCAACAGCTGGAAGGTGCTGGTGCCCTCTTCTTTCCTAGACGCCCTATTTGGGTGTGGCTCAAAATTAAACACGAGGGGTTACGCAGGTTTTGTCTACCATGTTTCCACTTACCAGGGTTCCATTTTGGCACCGGTTTTTTGAGCCACAGCCATTTAGCACCAAGACTCGGTTTCAGAAGCCGCAGGTGACGCGGCCCGGTTCCCTCTCCGCGCCCCCAGTGCTGCTGCTATCGGAGCGCGGGGGTTTTGGTGGCGCCTTTTGGTTGGGGGGGTCTCCTTCCGGAGCCCACGGAAACGGCGTCACGACTGTGAATGGACGAAATCCATTTCGCACTACCTGAGAAACCCTAGAACAGGGCTGTGGGGAATGACCACTTCTATGATACAACAAAAAGGGCTTCCCAAAGACTACTTTGTTTATATAAAGAGGGATTCCCTTGTATCACAGAAGTGGGGAGAAACCCCTTGATCCCACGACCCTGCCCTAGAATGATATGATCCCTGTAAATCCCAACAGACAATGCTTTCCCATGGTGTCTTGGGTGGTGCAGGAGTCAGAGTCCATCCACGGTATCACCAGGTGACGGCTTTAACTCGATACCCTCCCACCAACTAACGTGGAACCTGACGTTCCGGGGTCCATTGAAAAGGAAGTTATCTTCCAGGAGCCCCCTGTCAGGTTCCATGTTAGTTGGTGGGAGGCTATTTGGGTTGGGCCAGTTTGGGTTTTTCTTAGGAAGATAGTGTGCCCTTTGGTTTCTCTTGAAAACCACCCAGCTATGTACGCCCCAACAAAGGGCGTGAGCACATGATTATGACGCCATGAATCTCAAGAGTCACTTGGATGCTCAACCAACCTGCCAAGTAGGTTGTAACCATGGTTATGCGGGGACACTCACCCCAGTTGCACCAGTGTCTCATAATAGGCATAGCCTACTCACTAAGTTGGTTGAACATCCAACTAGACCTCTGTCGACATAACTCCCTTTCCACCAAAGGCTCCAACCCGGCAACCCAAATTCTTCACGCGCAGTCGACTCCCTTTCACCAATTCCGTGTTTTTTTGTTGGGGGGTCACAGAAAGGCCTGCACAAACTGCACATGTTGCCAGAATCCAATGTCAATGGGGATTCAATGAGACAGACTCAACACATCAAGCCCACAATCCAAAACCAATGGGAGTCACATGAAGACATGGGGGGATTTGAAGGTTGGTAGAGTCCCGACCGAAACGAGGACCGCGCCTGGCCACTTTCCTTCTTGATTCTTTGCTTCACTGTTTTTGGCAAGTTTTAGTTTGTTTGTGTTTTGGTTCTTTTTCCTTGCATCTAGCATGCATCTTCCCATGTTATTTCATGTGGACCCCGGATCAGTCAACCTGGCGGTTTTATCAACGCAGCATTCCCAAAAGAGTGATCCGATTCACCTCTAAATGGGCCCCTATCGACTCACTCACCCACCGCCGACCTTTTGGCCTGTTGGTTTCCCTGAGTTGGTCCATGCTTCACCGAACTGGGCAAGAGAGTTGACCAACCAGAAAATTAATTTAATCGTGGGCTCGCAACGGGAAGTCTGGTGGAGCTTCCCACAGGACGCCTTGTCGCCGCAGCGGCCCCGCGTAGCGCCGGCGGGAGGCCTAGATGCGCCAAGGGATGTTCAGCAGTGCCCTCGCAAAAAGGCCAGTTTAGCCATTTTAGTAGCAGGTTTGGTTCTGGTGAATACCCAGTCGCTCATTGTCGCCCTAGTTTCCTTTGTTTGGGAAGGGTTCCCCGTTAAACTCAACCAGCCAAAAAAGGATGCCCGTTTTTTCCCTTGGCCGCTGGGCATCTGAGAATAGGGATGGTAGTCCCCACTACAAGCTTTACTAGCCATGTTGGTCGAACCAAAAGTCAGCTCGATTCTTTTTTGGGGGGGGTCTGCACAAGTTGACAAGTTGGTGAGATGCCAAGGGAGCTTGTCCCGAGGGAGTGTTAGCAGTTCCTCCAAGCCGGGTGCAGTGAATTAGCAGGGCACTCTAAGAATGCCAGAATGGTTGGTTCACGGTTATCACCTAATTACAGCTGGCCCAACTCACTCATGCAGGTTAGAATCAAGATGAACCACTTACTAACTTGACGAAAGGATCACCCAAGTGAGAGGGGTGTTCTTTGTTTGGGTTGGTACCCTCCCAAGAACAAACGTGGAATCTCTTTTTGGAAGAGGGCCCCAGACCATGTTCCTTCGACCGGGACCGGGTTTCTTATTAGATTGCGTGCCCCCAAAATGATGGGATTTTGTTTTCGCTGGTTGGCTTCCTTGAATAAGTTCAAAAGGGTGCCCTCAAAAAACCAGCCCAAAACAGGAGTCAGGGCCGTCCGATTCAGAAGCCGCGCGCTAGGGCAAGGGGAACTGAGAGCCAACTGTTGCATCCATTTGCGAGGTAAGTGTTTGCAAGCTGGCAAGGCAAGTCAGTCGCCGTCAGAAGTCATGAACAGCTAGGGAAAATGTTGGAGGGCAGCCTACGTGGCTTGCAGCTGGGGGCAGCGGGACCACCCTTTTCAATGATGAACAATAAGAGATCCCTGGTCGATTTTTTCGGGGGTGTCCCCTTTCCACGGGAATCCTTCACTTTTTGGGTGACCCCCCCCCCCAAAACATAGGGCGGGTTTGGCAATACGGGGTCAACATTAGGTTGCACAAAAGAGAAAGCCCTTGTTCCCCACAGCCCCTTGATTGAGGTTCTGGAAGCCTGTTTCGTGAAGCTTCGGATTCTCAGAGCCGGGATCTTTGGCCAAGTTAAACCATGACTCCACTTCCGGCGAAGTCGGCTCGCTCCCTGAGCACATGGACTTCAGATTTTGGGAAGACCACTTGAGCGGCAAGCAAACAGTCTTGGCTTCTTTGGCCAGTCCGCTCAGGAAGCGAGCAGGTCGTACCCTAGGCGACCAACAACTTACAAACTTGGCCGATTTCCCAACAGACAAGCCCGAGCGTGGCCAAGGTGACACCGATTTCTTCCAAGGAACTACGCATGCTCAAGTGAGCCGAATTTGTTCGGATGCCGACTGGAGCTCTCTCAGTTGAGCGGGCACCTTGGGTATATAATGTGTATATACATATACATATATACATACATATATATATATACATGTATGTGTGTATACATAGTTGTACGGTTTGACATTGCTTTGCCATTGTAGGTTCACCAATTCTGGACCAAGTCAAAGATATCATTCTTGTTATTGGGTAAAAGCTGAGGTAGTTGAGACTTTACGTGGCGTGAATGACGTGTTTGCACTGCAGTTCACACAGGAAGAGAGGTAAACGTGCTTGGTGTATGGTGCCACCTTTTTTTTTTGGCTTTGGTCCGCTTCTTGGCAAGGTGTCAAAAGGTTCGGCTTTTATGTCCAGGTCCTTTGGGCAAGTGAGGTTCGGCCCAGTCTTTTTTTTTTTTGTCTCCCCGTCCAAGTCGTATTCTTGGTCCCTTTCGCAGGGGTGCCGGCGTATTTGTTTTGGTGTTCGAACATCGCCTTCTCCGACTCAGGGCGAACTTCCCCTAAACATCCAAGTTGAGACATGTGTGTGTGTGTGTCTTTTTGTTTGCTTTCCTCCCCCCCCCCCCCCACACAAAAAGAACACGAAGCACGGGTTGGTGTGCTTTTTTGGGCTCCCTGAAACAAAAGCCAAGCCAACGCACTCCAAACCCAAAGGATTCGGGAGGTCTGGTAGGGCCAAGCGCCGCAGTGTGAAGAACTGAGCGAGCGAGCTCGGCGAATGGCACCCGAGGCTCAAGTTGTCCCTTGAATTGTTCTGGGGCCCCTTCTAGGTTCCGCAGCAATTGGTGCCCACTTTTACCGTTTCTATTTTTGCGGAGGGTTTTCCCACTAAAATCGACTGCAGAAAAAAGGGTGCCCTTATTCTAACCTCTCTACTGGAGGACCTAGCCTTGGAATTTCTCCAAATGAAGCCCGCTTTGTACCTGGCATATGGGGGTGGCTCAAACTTAAAAGAGCTAGGCGCAGGTGATAGGTGCCTTCTTGGTACATGTCTTGAGCCACAGCCTATTGGCTCGGTCCTGGGAGGCTACACAAGGCGCATGCCCCCGGGCATAAGGCCATTTGGAGAAACAGAGGTGGGAAAGTGGTAGCAGGGTCGGAATCCGATACAAGAGATCAAGGGATGCCTTCTCTCGAAGAGTTCAGCAACAGCTTTCCGATTGGAATGGTTTGAGTTTGAGCGTATCGGTCAGCGCCATGCTGAGTATATTTCCATTTTGTGAATTCTGCAGTCGGTGCAGAATGGAGTATTGCAAAATAATCCAATCATAACGCGCAAGAGCCAACTGCATCAAGAGGATGGTGTACACATTCAGGACCATACTCTATCAAGGGAGCAGCGCCCGATTCCTATTGGCCATTTCAGTATCTGGTTTAACAGGGATTCTAGTAAAGCCATGTAAAGCCTAAGCCTCATGACCAGGTTCGTAGAGCTGAAAGTCAACTCTGGTGAAAAGGGCTTTCTCACAAATGTTCAGGTCAGGCAAGTATCGGAGTCTCGTAAAGCCTCAGTCCAATTACCGTGCGGAGGGTTTCAGGCCCAATCGAACACATACCTGGGGTCTTCTCCAAAACTATGTCATATTTCCGCGCAGCCTAATCATGAGCCAGACGCAGAACTTCTTTTTTTGTTTCAAGTGTACTCAAGATGTGGGCCAAGATGCTGATGGACAACATCTATGCTAAGCACCGGTTGTGGACGAAGCCCGATTTGAATAGTTCATAAAGTGCCAGCTTGTGCTTGAAGCGGATGTTGTCCATCGCCAGTCGGATCATGGAACCCTTTAGGAGTGTAACCAAAAATAAAGTCGAGGGATTTTTCAGGCAGGGATGCCCGGGCAGTTCTAACCAACGGGTTCCAACTTGTAAGGATTGCACAGATCCGAAGGGAACCATTTGCTAGGATCGCCCATTTTAGGATCATCCAATTCAGACTCAGAAGCCGCAACCAAAATCCATGCCTTGGATGCCAAAGCCAGCTCTCGCCCCACCAGTGGGCACGCCAAGAACCAGGTCCTGATGCCCAAAGGGTGGCCAATGTGATGGGGTCTCCTCAAATCGGATCCAAGCCCTCCCCGTGCTTCCCCAAGACAAGATCTTGATCTGAAAGACTTTGTTGGAGGGGGGTGGATCCTATGATCATTGGTGTGTAGACAGGGATCCCTTAACAACCAGACTATGCTGACGACTTTATCCGAAACTTGCATCTGAGCCCCTAGAATTGGCTGGCTTCTTGCGGTACGCCGGTGGTCAATGCTCGTCATGTTCTGTGAAAAGATGCGAAAAGCCGCGAAAAGGTGGGGGGCATGAGGGCTGGCAAGGGAAAGATTGGGGAAGTGAGCAACCATCAACTCTTTGCCGCCCAAACAGTCAAACAAGACACGTTGGAATCCCCCCAGTGCTTCCAGTTACCGCTACGGTAGGTAACCAAGGGAAAAAAACATGATGTAAAACCTAGAGGTAAGAGACCCATACCTAAGCCTACTATAGTGCAACTGGAACTGGCCTCCCCCGCACCCAAAAAAGAGAAACAACAAACAGTAGCCATGGTTGGATGGGACCGATATTAGCTTTTCAAATGGCGGCTCAAGGCCCGGATTTTATGTGCGTGCTTTTTTTCAAATCGCAGGTGGAGCATGGTTAGCTCCCCCAGTAGTGCCAACTTTTACCGTTTCTTTTTTGGGGGAGTTCCCCTACTTAAATAGACTACGGAAAAAAGGGTACCCTCATTCTATCCTCTCTACTGGAGGACCTAGATGTTTTGTTTGCGGGTGCTGAGGTGAAGCACCGGAAATGAAAGAAGCACCATTGTCCCCGTTGGGCGAGCCATACATGGAACCCCTCCTTTTTTAGCAGCGTCTGATGTTTGTTGGGTGTTCGAACCACCTATCTAGGTTACTCTCACCATAAGGCGATCACCCCAGGTACCAACCACTTGCCATGGTTCAGCCACTGGGTCCCCCAGTAGTGCCCTTTTGCCCTTTTTGGGGGGAGGGTTCCCCTACTAAAACAGACAGAACAAGTTGGTACCCTTACTCTATCCTCTCTACTGGAAAACCTAGACCACTTACCTGACGTTGGTGGAGCATCTGTTTGTTGGTTTCTTCGCCCCGGAACTGCGACCCTCGGAGGCCTCCCGGAGAGAAATGGAAGCAAACAACCCTAAAAAGCGTAGAAGCAATGCGGCGCATGAGTTGGTTTTTGTTCCAGTGCCCCCTTTCGGTTCGCGTGTTTTTTTTTCTCGAAAGGGGAAACCGGCGCAATGGTTTTTTGCTTTGCAGCGCGCCATTTTTTTTTGTTCGTGTTTGCTTAGAGGGAACCCAATCTTGGACAACCATGTTGGGGGTCCAAATCCTGAAGACGAGCCACGGGTGCACCCATGTGACAGCCTCATGATTCAGGATCCTGGACTCGCCAAATTTCAATCAGGGGCGGAACTCCTATTTGTCGAAAACGTGCGGGTCATGGCACATATTATATATGTATATATATATATATATGTTTTTGTTGGTGGCCCTGGTTGGTAGATGATAGGCTTTAGGGAAAGCAAAAGGAGAGTTCCCAAAAAGACGCACATAAGAGTCGCAATCAAAACCCGGTATTAGAATGGTCGTAATCCCAGAACCATGCCTCAAGAATAAAGAAGGCGCATATCCGCACCTATTTCTGGCTGGCACGGCCCCTTACTAATCGAACCATCTACCCGGGTGTTGAGCGAGTGGCTCATATCGGCTCAAAGTCCAGGCTGAAGGCCTAGAAGCTCTCCGCGTGTCTTCCTTGGCTAGGTCCCCCAGTAGTGCCCTTTTACCCTTCTCTGGGGGAGGGTTCCCGTACTAAAATAGACTACAGAAAAAAGGGTACCCTTATTCTAACCTCTCTACTGGAGGACCTAGGGCTGCAAATTCTTCCGCCGGTCTCAATGCTAGCCTCTTCGTGTAACAGTACCCGGAGGTCCCGCAATTTTTCATGTTCAACACCCCTCCAGTTAAGGACAGAGGTCGCCATTCCGTGAGTCCCTGGCACCAGAAATGTTTTGCTTGATGCCCGTCGGCTGCATTTCGGGGGCGCTTGCATTTTTTTGCGATTTACCCAAAGGTGGGGACGGCGAATCGTGCCACCAGTTGCCTTATAGACAACACTCTGTTGCCCGAAGCCAAGCTTTTGACCTTTTGGTTTCTCCTTTTTGGTATGGCCCCAAAAGGATAACCTTTTATTCCTGGGTCCGAACTGGGCAATTGAGAACATGTGGTCTCGCACATGCCATGCTCCGCGCTCGCCGCAACCCTGTGGCTCAGCTTCTTTGATAAGATGAGATCATGGAAGGGACCCAGACTGAACACGGTTGCCGACATGAGAAAGCCTCATAAAATGGATCAACTTGCGCAGGGAAACTGATTTCACCCACGGCAACTGTTTTGGCTGGCCGATTTCACCCATAGTTGCTGTCTGGGGGGTCCATATCTTATTTTCGGTGAGTTTAATATAATTCTTACCCAGATGAGCGACAATCAATACCCAGGTTGATGAAGGTTAGTAAGGGACACTCCCAACCATGGCCGCCTTCTTCATTCTTTACATGGTTCTGGGATTGCGATCATTTCAATACCTGGTTTTGATTATGACCTAGATGTTGAGGAGATACGCTGGTGTCAGTCCAGCTGCCAATAGGGGCAGAGCCGGCTCGAGCGGCATGTTCCAACAGCAAACTTCAAATTCTGCAATCGACACACGGGGCACCTGCAAAAGATGAGCTTGCCAAAGACCTTGGCGACCATCGGACTTTCCGTGTTGCAAGTGCAGGCCTCACCAGGCCGCCTGTTGCGGAAAAAAGCTGACTGGCCGAGCTAGATGAATTTGTGGTTCAGGGAAGCGAACAACATTGAGACAGTGACAGTGAAGCCAAGCCGCTTGGCGATCTGAGCCATGCGCAGAAGGCGTGGCAGAATTGGGTACGTGTTTTGCTTCAAGGAAGCCCCTGTGTTTGGAGCGGGTTAGGGCATTCAAAGGTCAATCGAAGCCAACGTGTTGGTTTAACGTTTACTTCCTTGCAGAGAAAGCCGTTTCGGAGTAGACATGGTTGTTGTTGAGAAACACGGTGGTTTAGTGGTTGAAATCCATTTTTTTACTGTTAAAATGCTAAAATGTTGTTGCTAAACTGTTTAGCTTTATTTTGCTTGAGAAATCCCCACTCAACTGCTAAAATTTGAGAATTGTTGCTCCCCTTCCAACGTCAACCAAGTAGCGGCTTCGATTTTGGAGGGAGCTGCTCACTCGCTGCGAATCGAGCCATGGACCTGTTTGGGTATTCCCAGTGTCTTTCTTGGGACAAAACCGGGCCGGATTCCGAGCGCCTGTTCAGGTTTTACCATGTCGTGGGTCAAAATTAGACCACCAGGAATTGGGCCGCAGGGTTTGGTCCGTATTGCCATTTACCAGGGTTCCATTTTGGGTACCTATTTTTGACCCACGGCCATGTTGGCAGCCATGCTACTCCCCTGCTACTTTTGCCGATCCTGCCTGCGTTTCTTTCCCATAAGCCGAGGGTTTTTTTCCCTCATGTTTTGTCCTATGCGAGGCTGCCTTGTACACTGCGTCAGCTTTAGCCAAACCAGAGGCGGAATTGGTTGCTTTCCCAAGAGCTTGCCTCAGGATAAGAGTCCTATACAAGGGGATCCCTTATTTCTAGTTGTTGATTATGGCAATTAGTGCAGCGGTTAGGGGCTCACGCTCTCGTGCATCGCCTTCTGGGACAGACCTGGGCTTCCCGGGATGCTCGAGCCAGTTGGGTTTGTCTCAAGTGAGTCACTTGCTCAAAACCCGGGCAAGTGAAGGTTAGTAAGGAACAGTCCCAGCCAGAAATAATTGCGGCCGCCTTCTTAATTCTTGAAGCAGTTCTGGGATTGCGATCATTTTAATACCGGGTTTTGATTGTGACTCAATTAAGAGCAAGTGTGGTATAGTCCTTGTATACCATCAAGTCCATTTATACTAAATGGTGTGGCCAAACAACACTAAACTAAACTAAAGTCCATTTATACTCAAGTCTTGATTGTTACTCAAAGTCGGGTTTCTGCCCATAGCCTGGGCTGCTCAAAGGTACTCCTTCCTGGGGTTACGCAAGGAACCGGTCGCCTTTGTAGCGGCTTTCCTTTAGGGATTATGCATTAGGATTGGCCAACCCTCCATTTTGAACAGCACAGATAGCTCGCCGATCGTTTCGGATTAGCGCCGACCGTTTCAGTGCCAGGCTGGGGCTTAGCTGCCTCGCCCTTCTCGCTTCGCCCCCGGTCGATCTGCTGACCAAAAATTATGGGGAGAAGTTTCAGTGTGAAAGACTGTTGGGGTATATATATATATATACACATACACAGTACGATTATGATATATATATATATAGATAATTTAGAGGGTTTTGAGAAATATGTATGGCATTAGACAATAAAAGAGTAGCTTCTAGCAAGTCTTCAATGGACGACTAAGTTTGGATTTGCCACTTCGCCGAGAGGCAAACAAACTTTGTTGGGTCAACATTTGACAAACGCATATACATATATGTATATATGTGCATATACGTTTGCGATTGTCTGAAGTGACGGTACCTGGACCCTCAAACCACCCTCAAAGAAGGGAAGCCACCCCATAGGTGTAGGGCAATATCCCTTCTTTAAGGGCAATTTCTTGTTATTTGGGCGGACAATATGCTTTCGGTTCAACGACGGCCAACTTTTCAGGCGTCTAAATTCAGGATTCATGTGAGCAACATTTGCAGAACCGTGCCTTAAACAATTAATACATTAATTTAGGTCAGGCAGGTTGGTGGAAGCATCGAAGCCCACCTTTTCTGGAGCGAAACAGCACAAGGTTGTTAGTGACTTCGAAAATCCCCCACACCTTGGATTTATGTTTGTTTCACTCTTTCATTGGTCAATATGGCTGTGATTTGAAAACGGCAACGCCTTTGTGGTTGGTTTTCAAGGGAAGCCACAAGGAAAGCCGCTATTTGGAACAGAAGCGGAACTTGACAAACGTAAGTGTTTGTTCTCCAAACAGTGTCAGATTGCTGGCAGCTTCGATAGGTAGGAATCAATGTCGGGATCCTTTGCTGGAAACCACTAGGGATGGTTTATTGGGACTTATTTCCTCATTCCCTGCCACGGTTTGATGAATCCATGAAGATGTTCCAGAAAAAACAAGGAACCATGTGGTGGGCACATTTGCTATGTTGAATGAGTTTTTTCATCGTGGTTTCCGAGGACCCTGACTGTTAGTTAATCAGTTCCCCCTTTGGTGGTTTGAATTGGAATCCAACCGGTCCCTGGCTTTTGTAGAGGGTGTTTCATGGGAAACCACCCTTGAACCAAACCACCAAAGGGGTAAGGTGATTAGTTCAGGTTCCCAAAGATCGCCTTTCTGGGTCCTTTGGGCTCTTTCAAGGGCGACTTATATTCAACCATAGGTGTCCTTTTTGGTTGGTTTGGTTTAAACATGGAAGGCCCTGGTTTACCTGCTGGTTCAATCATCTACCAGGGCCATCTATTTTCCAAAAAGGACACATGTATTCAACATGGTCTGGTTTCAACTGCAAACACATATTCACAGCTGATAGGAATTTTGCAAATTGTGACCCAAAAGCGTCGACGTGACTTTTGAGTCGAGGAGCGCTTACCCCTAGCAGCTGTGTAAGCCCTGTTGCCCAAAGCCAACCTTTTGACCTTTTGGTTTCTCCTGGTTGGTCTAGTTTTAGTCATGGCCCCAAAACATGTCTGGGTCCTTTGGGCAAGTGAGTAAGGGTACATAACTTACCCCTTGAATTCCTATGCCTCATGCCCTTGAAATTAAGGGAAAACCTGTTCCACTTTGATTAAGAGCCAATGTTGAGCAACCGAGAAGCTCTAAGACTATAGTCATTAAGGTATGTGTCTAAGATAGTTTCCACTATCCCCAACCACTACCCCAGAGTTAAATGGGATACGCACACACTATACATACACCATGGTTTTTTTCCCCGTCCCTGGGGCAGTTTGGGGGAAGTGAAGCCACTTTGCAAGGTTGGTTAAGAACCAACCGAGAAAAGGCTGGACATCAGCCAGACACCGAACAAATAGAGGATGGTTGGCTCATTTCCGGTAAAGCCGAAATCCATTTTTAATTGAAGGCCGCCAGTTGCTGGCGCTGGGAGATTGGACCGACAGAACCACCCATGTCCCAGAGGAGCGGATGCCGCTGCATTACTCCGGGGCTCGGGCCACTATGGCGATGTGGGTGAAGCACACTTGCCTTGACATGCACATTGGCATTTGGGCAGGGATTTAGAGGAGAGTGTGAGTGTCCTCAAGACCTCGAGGAACTCCATAATGATCCTGTCTCGCTCACGGAGTTTGACTTACAGGTCGCTCCAGCGATTCACTATTGAGAAGCCATTGTACAGCCTGGAACTGACTCCACCGGTTCGCACAGTCGCCAGCTTGGTGTGTCGTCCTTTATTTTATTTTCCACCGCGTTGGCAGGTCCTGTTGGGGGGGGGGGTTGAACGGAAGACCTCCCCAGCAGTTTACGTTTACCTTCTTGCGGGAAGTGAATTCACTGCAGACTTAAACCCCTGCTTTAAATTTCTTTAACCACCCTAAAGCCTAAACCCTAAAGCGTGTGGCTTAAACTTCAGTTTTACTTGCGGCAAGCTGAAGACCCTCCCCGAGGCCTGCTCGCCTGCCTTCCTAGCTCCCCGGGCAGTGAAGGAGGCGGGCATATGTCGGGCGATGGCCATGGCGACCGATGGGTCGATCGCTCAGAATCAGGCAGCCCTTATCTTGATTTGGAGGGAAAAAAGGGAAACCACCCCACAACAATCCAAACCGCCAATTAGATGGAAGTTGAAGTAAGAGGTAGTTCAGACAAGGCTGCTTGGTTCTTTGGTTCTTCGTTCTTTTGTTCTCAAGTCTTTTTGGTGGCGGCCTGTTTGCAGCCATACCAGAGGCTGGACAGACTGGCTGTCTACTTTCCCACTTGGGCAGTTTGAAACATAACGCAGTTCAATCGAGTCCAGCCTCATCCCTTTGCATTTGATGGGTTTCTCTAAACATGGAATCGACCCAACAGAGGTTCCCTGGTCTGCTTTTCGGATCACTGGTCAACTGGAGTAGCCATTGTCCAATCTGGTAAGATGTAAGATGACCAATCTCCGTGAAGATTCCTGTCTTGGTGCCTCTCCCAGGAACGGGAGGCTTTGTGCCTATCGCCTCCTTGATTGTTGGTTGGACGGCCACCTCAAAGCAACGAGCGACAAAATCAGCAGGTCAAAGCTTTATCGTGGAAACCCTTTTTCAGGTTTCCTCCATGTCCCTTCTTGGAGCTTCCAACAGTGGCAGTTTTAGTGGAGTTCACAAGTAAATCGTGACGTTTAACGGGGAAATCCAGCGACCCTGTCTTTGGGCAAGTGTGTCTCCGACGACGCCCAACTTGTTGTTCTTGGCGGTTTGTCGGGGGTTTTCCTTAAGCATACCAACTTCGGAATGCCGCTATGAGTCGGTCGTTTCTTGAGGGTACTCTTTCTTCTTCTTCATGTGTTTGATTCTTGCCGGGGGGGGGGGGAAGGGAAGCCAAAAGGAACAACACTGTTTTTTTAAGGGGGGAGTCCCCTAAAAAAGAGACACACCCGTATGGGTGTAGGCTTTGGCCCTTTCGAGCAGCGTACAGGAAACCCTCGCTGGCAGGAGGCGCCCAATGTGGACCTCGGCAAAGTGAGCATCGAGGACACGTGGCGACCACTAACAGTGTGTATGGTCGTACTGGGGTTGTTATTTTGACGGTTTCTGGGGGTTGTCTAACCTCAGAACATGGAATCGGTGGTTGCCCTTTAACCCACCACTTAGAGGGTGACTTTGATCCATGGTAATTATGGCTACACAAAGATTTGTGGGCAAGTGATGTTGTGCGCGTCAAACCAACGTTTTTTTCGGGTTACCCAGTTTACATGATGAAGCTCAACTAAACGATGGTGGCCATGTTAAGCCCCGCGGTGGTTGTTGGAACCGCGGCCAAGCCGCCCCGTTCCGCGGAACCCGACAGCGAGCTGAGCTGAGCCCGACACCGGGAGGAGCTGCTGCCCTCGCTGCCCTTCGAGAGCCGCCGGAACTTGGCGGAGCGGCAAATCCTGGAGCCCAGCCCGGGACTCGCTCGAGGGTTTGCGAGCCACTTCCCTTTCAACTCCAAAAGTGGCGATCGTTCGAGTGGACACCACCAGTGAATGCTGACTTTGGATATGCGAAAATCCAGTGACCCCAGTCAGCCCGGGACTCGCTCAGGAAGTTCCGAGCCGTTGCCCTTTCAAGGGAACCTCCAAAAGTGGCGATCGTTTTAGTGAAAACCAGAAGGGGAAATCCAGTCACCCCAACGTCTCTGAGTAAATTGTAACCATTGATTTTGGGGAAATGTTCAGGGACGCCTGTCGACGCTCGGATCCGCCGATGTCGATTGGGGTCCCCATCCACGATGAGAATTCCAGGCTTTCATTTGAGTCAGGTGACACAGCAGGAGGTCTTGGATAAGATCAATGCGCAACTGAAGCATCTTGGATAAGATCAAGAAGGCCCGAAGGCAAAGACACTTGGTTCGACATACAAACTATTTCTGAGGACTGTTTTTCTTGTTGTGTTTTCTGTGAACAAGTGCAAGTGTTCATTTCCCCGGAGATTTGGAGATCACTTCAGGTGCCACGCCGAGTCGGATCCGCCGATCGGATCGCCGCGTTCTGAGGCCCGATTCAGGCTTTGGCCCTACCACACATTGGCTCCGGCAAGCACGCGGTCGGGCCTGGCATGTTTGATGTGGTTGCCCATCAGAAGCCAAGCCAAGCTTGACACGGCTATGAATCTTTCTTGGTCGGAACTCCCTGAGAAGTGGTTGGCGGACACAAATCCCCACCTAAATAAACCAAAGGGTTCCTCATTAAAATTCATGCCCGCATGAAAATGCAAGACTCGAGCCAAGCAACAGAATTACGACCTTGCCACTGAGTCCAGGCGAGGACTGGATTCCAACCCGCCGATCAACCGGGCCCCTCGTGTGGAGGGGTCTCCAAATGGGTGGAAGCCTCCAAAATGGGCGCTCATGTCGGGCATTTGAGATTTCGTGGGGATTGTCAAATGATCCCAACCTGGGTACAAGAACCCTAGGTCCTTTCGAAATCAAATGGGCCAGCATTTGTCCAATCGACGAAGTCACCAAGGGGCTAAGGTGATACAGACTAGGTCCCCCAGCTAGGTGCCCTTTTACCAAATCTTTTTGGGGGGAGGGTTCCCCTGCAAAAAAAAGACCACAGAAAAACAGGGTACCACTAAAAACCTACCATTGTTTGGCGCCCATGCCGCCGTCCATGAAGCAAAGTCTGCTGAAACCGGCTTCCATGTCAGCCTGAAAAAGGGTACCCGAACAAGGAGGCGCTGTTGGTCTCCTGGAACCCTGCATGGGTAAACTTGCAGCTCCCCGCAGACTAGGCACGCTCCAAACTGGGCTTCGGTTTCTCTGAGGTCCCTTGAAACCAATCTGAAACTGGTTCCCGCTGAAAACACACACACACACACACATCCAAAGCAACAAACACGTATTTGGAATGCCCTAGTAAGAGGCAAGCCCACGCGTTTCAGCTTGTGCAAAGCCACAGCCGCTCAAGGCGGGAGCAGGCCTTCATTTGCTTGGTCTTTGTTTTCGCCAAACTTGCTGCCTAGGGAATGAGGGAATGACCCCGAACTGAACCATCCAACTGGTGGTTTCCTTTAACCTTGGGAAACCCTTTGACCTTTTTCCAACATTCCGGTGGTTTCCCTTTTGCCCTTTCCTTGTGATCCCAAAACCCGAATGAAGTTCCCCGGGGCCAAGCAAGCTCCAGAAAACGTGTTGGTTTGATTCTCGCAAACGAGCGCGTGGCAGAGTGGCGTGGCAGGTCCTGATCTCCGAGACAGGCCGGGGGATCCTTGAATCTAGGAAACGGCTTGGACGCGCTCTTTGTGGATTTCACCGGTTCTTCCCCCTGTAGGTTCTCTTTCAGTACTCTTTTAGTACTCTTTTGATATCCTACAGGGGTGGATCCACAAAAACCGCACCCAATCTGTTTCCCAGGTTGAAGCTGAGGGACTCAACGCCCAGGTCGGATTGCCGGAGGATTCATAAGAAGTAGATCATGGACACGTGCAGGACCCGTTTGGAACACGCTCCCTTGCTGAAAGATTTGGGAAAGCAACCGTGGCTACCATAGCAGGCTTCTGTTGGACTGTTCCAACTTGTAATGATTTTCCCCTGGTGACTTACTCTAGTGGTTTTTCTCGTGCACCGCTGGGTTGAGGTGACATGTCAGGAGCGTGCCCCCCATGTCTGGAAACTCTTGGTCAGTGAACACTTTGGGTGCAAGGTGCGTAAGCGTAGTTGCAGTTGCCTTCATATGAGATTGGAAGATTCATTCAGTATATTTGCCTACGGGTAGCTAAAACGAAGTCACCATGATGTAGGGATCCATACTGTGGATGGACGATCTTTGAAACCATGGTTGAAACCACTGTTTGTTGGTATTTACAGGGGAATCAGACCATTCCAGGGTTTCTTTGGTGGTGCGAAGTGGATTTCGTCCATCCATATCTTACTTCAGGTCTCAGAACTACTGCAGAGCTTGCAGGACTTTTATCCTAGTTCGCACAGGGTCGTCCTATCGTCTTGCCTCGTTTCCGGCCAATCCCGGGCAATGCGAGCGACGATTCTCAATCCGATCCGTCAATTTTATGTCAAGCTCACATGGGGGGGGGGGGGGGGGGGGGCAAATTCAGGGTGAAGGCCCTTTACTTAGGAATCTCGTATTGATTTGCAGATTCGATACGTACAGAGAGATAAACACGGATAGATAAATATTAGGCTAGATAGCTTGATGTGATCAAATACGGATGGAAGGGTCTAAGGATATGAAGCATCGGAAGAATGAAACACACAACATACTGAACAACGACTGATCGTAAGACGGAAAGCCAAGAGATACTGGTGAATAACATTGGCGCGACAATTAATAGATACATTGATAAGCAGCTGGATGAATGGTCGGACAGATGGACGCACCTATCTGGTGCCCAAAAGAGTGTCTGCAAAAGGAGATTGCTGCCAACATGGTGTTTCCTTTGTAGCAGGGTTTTGGTCTAAGCCATCCCTTAGTCTTCTTGAAAGAGAAGAGAAAGGGAAACAAGAAACCAGAAAGAAGACTAAAAAATCAAGAAATTCTGGAACCAGAAGGAGAAAGTTCAAGAAATTCAGTTCTTTGCAGATTGAAGCCAGAAAGAGGTGTTTCAGGCCTTGGGAATTCCAGGGGAAGAAAACAGGAGGACTCGATGGTTCGAGCCATCGTTACAAAGAAAATCGTCCTAGCAGGGGTTCAGGGGGGAACCCCTCAGTGATAAGCCCCACTGAAAGGGGGCACATCATTAAAACTCAATTAGGAGACTAGTTTGGGCTTCCTTCATCTCCTTTTTTAAGAACCTCCAACAGTGGAGATCTGGAAACCACCCGTAAATTCATCAACTTTGATTAGTGGACATGGTTTTGAGCCTTGCGAATCTGGGGTTCCCATTGCATGTCAAAGCAACAAGCATCGGCATTTAGAGGCTCAGGTTGGGTTGCTGTTGGGCGCCTTCTTTTTGGAGCTGGTCCCCACTTGAATGGGGGCCCCAGCCATGGCGAAAGCCCCTGACCCCTTTCCCGCACCAAAAAAGAAAAAAACGCTTTTGCGCCTTCACAAGCCCAGTTGGTTCATTTACCAGTAGTGTAGGTGGAAAGGATGACTTCTGATCAATCCCAGTTTGCCTGTGGACAGGGCGATGTTTTTTTCTGGAATGGGACTTGTCGGAAAGACGAGATTGTCCCTGCTTCCCATAATTTTTCGCTTGGCTCGAAGCCCGCCTCGTTCGAAGCGAGTTCGATCGACGAGGCTCCGGGAAGACCTTGGCCTATCTGCTGCCTGCGGTGGAGCGCGCCAGGGAGGCGGACGAGGACTCCTCGCAGCTCAGTTCGTCAACTCTGGGGGGGGTATGGTGGAGACTGAGGGACTATTTTGCAACCTCCTTCTTTTAGGGTATTGGCTTTTTAGGGTATGGTTGCAAAATAGACTCCAGGTGTCCATGGCACAGGGGGGGAGATGTTGGCTAGGTCGTTTCTTTTGTGGGGGGAGGGTTCACCTACTAAAATAGACTACAGAAAAAAGTTGGTACCAACTTATTCTAACCAACCTCTGTACTGGAGGACCTAGAAGTGTTCGGGGGGGGGCACCTTGGGCGAATCCAGCCATGCATTTGTGTGTGTGCGTTGTTTATTGGGCCTGTCTTTTTGTTGGGGGTGGGCCAAACAAGGGTTGGTGGAAAAGGACACCAAAAGCAAACCAGCCATTTTGGAGCGTGGTGCCGGTTGCACTGGCCGAACAAGGTTGTCTCGGATGTTACCCGCGGGTTTTTGGGACAAACGTGTCTCTTTTTGAGGGGACCGCAACAATTGGTGGTTGTCCTTTTGGTTTCCCTTTACCACCAACCCAAAAAGAGCACCATCAAAAACGACAGACCCAGATAGTGATGTGGAGCCATATCAGAGCCATATCAAGATCTATTGGTACCTATGCGGCTGGGGTGTGACTGGAAATCAGGGGACCATTACGACTCGTCTGGTCAGAATCATCCCGAACCCCATCCTAAAGTGTCCCTCATGGTTGGACCCCAGTTCGGAGTTTCTCCAGATGGACCTCTTTTTGCAGCAAACATCACGTGCCATCCTCTGGGTGTCGAGTAGGGGCTCAAGCAACATGTCATTCCCTTTTGGGCTCCTTTAGGGGAGGTTGGAATCTAGGGTTGCTATTCAGCACACAGTAGATGGCTTCTTAGATCCGCCGAACTTCGAAAAGGACCTTTGGCGCATTTTTCCTTGGATGTTAGGACTTTAACTGTTTGCCAACTAATGGGTTTTCCATTCAACCACTTAAAAGTCGAACTTTTAGCAGGGGAGCAGAAAGCAACCGAGCGCAGGAGGCGGAGCGCACGGGTCGGAAGCTGAGTGGCTTTCAAGCCATAGCAGTTGATTTGTTTGGAGTCTTCAAGGTGGGTGGCTCGTCTTCTTTGCAGGGACCCGAAAATTCGGTTGTTCTCCTTGGTTTCCCGCAAAAACCAACCCTGAAAACTTTGCCGAGCCTCTAACCAAGACACAGGCAGGAGTCAGTGTTGCGCGTTGTGCCCTGAACTCACTTGCCCAAAGCCGACCAAAAACGCATCGCCCGCGGAGATCTTTTGGTTTCGTGGCGTGTCGGAACTTTTAGCCCCGAAAGGTTACACCCCAAATTAACAGAAGGAACCCCCAGGTTTCCGCTTGTGTTTTGCGGAACCTCCACACCTGACCCCCCAAAAAGGGGGTTCCTTGCTTGTTAATTTGGGGTAACCTCTTTCTGGGTCCAAAGTGGGCAGAGAGAATCAATCAGGAAAATGGGCCAATGGGCTTCTGACGTGTCTGGTTCTCCTTGAAAGGTAAGCCCAAAGAACTGGTTGGGTTGAATGGGTAAACCGGTAAACCCAAAAGGGCCCTTGAATTGGTCGTTAGAATTGGTGGTTCGAAACACCAAAAACCACCCGCCTTTCAGTGAAGAATGAATCTATTTTTTGGGGGGAACCAGGTTTTTGCTCCACTACGTGACTTGCGTGCTTGGAGTGTTTGCCGCGCAAGGACAGTGCGCTAACCAGATGTATTTCACTGTGTGTTGTGAATTTTGGTTGTTGCCCCATTGAATCGCGTAAATGGACGTTTGTCTCGGGCTGCAAAACCGTTCTCGATCACATCAAAGAACCCCTGCGGATACCTCCCACTTGGATGGGTCAAACTTCGGTCAGGAAAATATCGGGTCAAGTCCCCATTTCGGGGTTCTTATTTTGCCAGCTTTTGCGGGAAAGTGAAGCCCTCCCCCCCTCAAAATGGAGCCCCACAATATTTTAGGGCCCTTCATTTTCCCAAGGGCAAAGGAACAGGGACCTAACTGGGGATATGAAAAGCAAGCTGATCATTGCTGGCTTTTGGGCCACTTTTGAGCCCACATTTAGTGAGACACAGGAACATTGTTGACACTGGGAACTTTTTCAATGGGACAACTAGACGACCGTTTGGCGTAGACGCACTTTGCAAATTGTGGGCATGACACGACGAACAGAAACAGCATACTTGCCTAAGGCTAGTACACAATCTGAAACCAAAATGTTCACACTCCCGGTAAGCCACTGCAACCATAGGTGTCCTTTTTGGGTTACTTTGGATATACATATGGCAGTGGTTTAGATCAGCTTTATGCAACATGTTCCAGCGCCGTATATTTTACCAAAAGGACACCTATGACTGCAACGGCAAGAGGACAGAGGCGTCAGGTGCCAGGGGTTGAGGCGTTTTTGTTGGTTTGAAGGAAACCCAAAAGCAAAACCACCATTTTTGGCGTCCCCTACAAAATGACACCCAAATGCTGGTTTTCTCTTGGTGTCCATTTGAAATCACCCAAGAGGTGAAAGCGTCATGAGATTCCAAGTTCCCTCCGAGCAATGCAACTCGGAGTTGGCGTCACGTTTCGGAGGCCCGAGCTCCGTCTTAATCCTTGCTCCGACAAGGCGCGGGAGTGGGAGTGGGACCGCAGCGCATGCGGCACTATGGGCTCAGGTTGCAGGGGGTTCACAAAGCGATTCCCATCACTTGATCCAAAGAATCCAAAGGACCATCTTGCGTTTAAAACTCAGTTGTCCAAACCGGATTGTAACCGGATCGACCTGAAATGACCTTCTGGTTTCCACGTTTTGGTCCATAGTCAACGTCCCACAAGGCAACCCGTTGATTTCCAGGTCCTTTGGGGTGAGAAAAGGAACCCATTTATGAATGAACCCAACGGGTCACTTGGCGGGAAGGACGGAGGGTCAACTTTTCAGCTCCGAAGAAAGCAAATGGGAAAGGTACCCCTGGACCAACGTCCACCTTCCCTTCCTTGCAATATGGGCAGTTTTTTTTTCTCGAGGGACCTACACCAAGAGGAAAACCAACCATTTTGGGGTCCCCTCAACAAGACAGACCCATATTATGTATCGGGTTGATTCCCCATTCTCTTCTCCCATCGTTCTCCTGAACCCATTTTCGGATCCCATGGAACATGTTCCCTTGCAATATTTGGCTGTCTCAAAGTATCGGGGACCCTGGTTTCATGTTGTTGCCCCCGGGAAAGTCAACCCAACAACGGCAAAAAAAAGAAGAAGCTCAGGTGATATCCCCAACAGCACGCGGTGCTGTTTTTAGTGCTCGCACCACCCCGCAGCCCTCACAGAACCTCGTTGAACCTTGGTGGAACCCTCGTGGAACGCTCGTGGAACCTTACCTCAGGGTCGCGCCGGACCACCCCGGAGCCTATCTGGGCTGAGACCCCAAAGCTTTCAGCTGTTGGGGAAAAAACAACAAGAAACAAAAACATCAAAAAACACACTGACGCGCCCATGTCCGTCCGCGCCACGAATCCCGCAGGGAGCTGGCAGTGCAGATCCTTGCAGAGGTGGAGGACCACTGCCAAGGCCTTGCCAAAGTCCCGGACACATTCGATGGGTGTGACTTGTTTGGACTGGGGTTGGAACCCTTTTTGCGGTCGTTGCAGCGGAAAGCCACAAGGGACCAGCGATTTTTTGGGGTTGCTATTTTAAGACGAACCCTTATAGCAACCTCACGTTTCGCGGGACGACGGATTTTGCAAGAGAAGGTTCCTATTGGTTGGGGTCCATGTTTCATTCTCGGTTGGTGAATTGTAATTTGCGTAGAATTCTTGAGTTACAGCAATTCGGCCCCCAAAATTGAAAAAAGACACAACAAATCAAAGGGCACCAAGCCCCGTTTCAGGCCCGTATTTGAAGGCAATTTACCTGGGTTTGGCAAATAATTACGGGACCACCCACAAGCCATATTGGGGGTTGTCTCAAAATTGGGGACCCTCCAAATTAGTGTAAAACACACAAATTTGCCTATTGGGTCAGTCCCTGTCGCACCAGCAAGTAAACAATTTCTCGACTTCCATGGTTCTAAAAGGAATTCATCACTACTGTGCTGCTGGAAGCATTTTTATATTTTTTCCTGGGGCCTTGACCAAATGGAAGTCGAGGCATCATCGCGCTGGTCACTTTGTCGGCGCGGGCATCCTGGTACACCTTGATGGACGCCTCTGTGATAATCGCCACGCCGGCCGCGGCTCGGCGCATTTTTTTGAGCTCGGCAGAGGCGTTTGTGCGCGCGCGTCGGGTCGCTATAGGTCCAGTGGGTCGAAAGGGAAGCCAAAAGGAAATTCTTTTTTTTGGGGGTTCCCTAAAAAAGGCAGACACATATTTTTTTGGGTTGATTCCAAATTTGAGATAACCCCTGGCTATCCTGGGGTCGCCAGCACGACCCCTTCGACCCAAGGAGTTGCTGGAGGCCTTCGATCAGGAAGACGCGGAGGCGAGCGAGTGAACTTTCTTTGGATCCCCCGCCGAACGGGTCGGACTGTGCCTTCCAGCTTGCCTAGGTCCCCCAGCCAGGTGCCCTTTTACCGTTTCTTATGGGGGGGGGGGGGAAACTCCCCTACTAAAATAGACTACAGAAAAAAGTTGGCACCCTTATTCTAACCTCTCTACTGGAGGACCTAGTTGGCTTACTGCTTGGGAATCCCCACTTTTCTGAGGCTTTAGTTGGAATCCTATGGGTCTCCGATCCCAAAAGGATGTTCTATTTTGGGGTCTGAATTTGAAACAGACGATATTGGCTTCACTTGCATTTGCCCCATGTGGGCCAACTCTGGCGAAGGAAACCGGTTGTTTTTCATGACAAGGCATAGACCCTTGTCGGATGTTCTAATTACCTGGTGCTCACCCTGAGTTTTATTATTATTATTATTAGTATTATACTATATTTTTAATGGGCCCCCAGGGGGAAAAAAACGCTTAGGGTTCACTAAGGATTCCCCCCCAAGTAGACCCCCCCCCCGTTAGAGCAACTGCGTGGGGTTGGCTCAATGGCGAACCCGGTTCTGAGGGCCTACTGGGGGTAACCAACGACTTAGCCTCCGCACCTTTTTGAGTGGAACACACTGGCAGCTGACCCAGGGTTTATTGATCCTGGATCAATAACATACCCCAATCGGAGAATTTGTGGATTCAACTGATAGGTGCTAGTCTCCTAAACCCAGCCAAGTTGGATCTCTCTGTTTTGGACAGCATGTAACATGTGGCAACCTTCACTCAGTTTGCCAGAATCTGAGCATATTGGTTTGCTTAGAGCTACGCAAGTTTAACGTCTCGTACCCCCAACGTAAGTTGTGAAGGCAGTACATGCTTGTTCATACAAATATCACCATCCACAATCCATCGCATGTGCCTTTGAATAGGGAAGCTTCCAGAGAAGCTTCCAGAATGGGTGGTTTCTACGGTGTTTTGTTTGGTTTTGGCTGGGCACATGGAGGGGGCCAAGATTTGCTTGAAAACCATGCACTGACCAGCTGTCAAGGGAAGCCAACAGGAGAAAGTTAGGAGAGGTGTTTGAACATGCTCTGCTGGAGTTGCTGGGGTCTCCAAAAGTTATTTGGCTGTGGGTCAAAACCAAAGGTACCATTTTGGGGTAGGTGCATTCACCACCCATTTTGGAACCTATTTTAGTGGTTGGATTGGGATGTTCGCTGAGAATACGATTTGGATTTTGACCCATGGCCATTTTGGAATAGCCCAGATATTTGGCCCCCCCCCCCCTCTGGAATAGCCCAGATTTGCCCCCCCCGCAGCCCAGCTTGGGGGCCCGCCCCCCCCCCCCAATCCCCACCGGGGCGACTCGGGGTGGTTGAAGGGCCTTCGCTTGGTGAGGAGGTGAAGGATCTGCTGGGCCGGGTGGAGGCGCAGCATGGCGAAGCATGGCGAAGCGGCGAAGCGGCGGCCCAGTCACCCTGCCCTCTCCGCTCCCCAAATCGGTTTTTTATGTTAGGTTTTTCCAGTAGTGCCCTTTTTACCTTTTTTTTTGGGGGGGGATACGTGTTGGGGGTTGACTGAATATCTGGGTCCCCCAGCTAGGCGCCCTTTTTCGCCAACGTGTTTTGGGTTTTTGGGTTCGGAATTTGACCAGTTTTTTCAGGGGATTTGCCCGGAGTTGGATCGGCTTTGAGGGGGGGTGGGGGGGCAAGATCCCTTTTTCCCTGTTTGGAAGCGGGAGGTGTTGGGGATGGGGTTTGGCAGGATCCCGAAGAGGTTCTGAAGGGGTCTGACCGCTTCCGGCCATGAGGGCCGAGGCGAATTGGGAAACCGACATGCCAAAGCCGATTCCTTCACAGGCCTTCTCGGGTAGGTGGTTCTACTAGCTGGTTAACAAGGACAGCAATCTCCAAATAATCCCTAGGCCTAGTGCCAACTTTTACCGTTTTTTTTTGGGGGAGGCTTCCCCTAGTCAAATAGACTACAGAAACAATATGGCTCCCTCATTGAAACCTCTCTACTGGAGGACCTGGAAGGAGGAAAGGTAAGTCACGGTCTTGTCCAAAGCCAAACGTTTAGCCATGTTGTAGCTTGATTTGTTTGCCTGGTTTCTGGCACCAAAGTAAAAGTCTCTACTTCTGGATCGGGTTTTGATTCAGTTGCACTATGCACATTACAGTCCATGAGGCAACTTCCTTCCCCGGATCTCGCCAACAGCCCGAGGTGTCCCTTCCGAGGGCTACTCATACATTTTCCGGCGATTTGTCCACTTATTAAGTCCCATTCTGTTCGAAAGGACGTCGAACTCGAGCATGTCCCTTTTGAGTGTTTGAAACATCGCCTTCGGGTAGTTGATGTGTTTCTGCGGTGAGGTACCTTAGGGAATCAATGCAGATGAGGTGTTCTTTACTTTTCCCATGATCGGTAGAATATTCTCAGCTGGCCTCACTGAAATTGATTTGCGCTCATTGGTGATTCCTGGTTGATGGATTAGACGGGATCCGTCGTTTGGAAAGAAATTGCCCCGGGTACTCAAGCCAGGTCTCCTGCGCGATTTTGGGATGAATCCGCAGGACCGCCTTTGAATGATTTCTCCTTCGGGGGAACCACTCCTGCATAGCCAGGATCCTCCGGAGTCAGACGTTGACAGTAGCTTGTTGCTAACACTGGGCAAGCTGATTTGCCACAAGTCACATGAGGGCGTGCACAATGGATCCATGCCAGACCCCGCATTCGCTTGACGAGGTGAAAAGAGCAACCTTGGGATCCAACTCATGTCCTCAATTGGGCTCTTAGCTGTTCAGAGCAAAGAGATGGGTTTAGCACAAATCTATGCCACTACAAGTTTGACCTTTTGGCAAAAACAATAATAATAATATTGAACTGCAAAGTGGAGTTTGACCTCGCAATGGAGCTGTGCCACGGACTTGGTGAGTCTGTCCGATGAGTCTCCTGTGCGTTTGCGTGGGAATGCCCTGCGATGAATGAGCGCAACACTGTTGCCACCAAACGTAGATAGGGAACAGCCCAAATCTGACGCAAGTAAATCTGGAGAACCGGCTTCGGATTCTTTTGGCTGTATTCCTCTTTGCAATTACCCCGGCTTTCCCAAACAAATTGAACGTAAAGCATAGTTGAGAGGCAATTGATGGTTAGGATTGGTTTTCGGCCTATCTTCAAGGAGTTTCCAGGTGCGAAAAAGCCGCGATCAACAACTACAAAGGGATGAGTATACCCCGCCTCCGTTTTGGAGTCTTCCAGAAACTTTCCCCATCCAAGACACCAACGGGGCTCACGGGCTCATCGGGGTCAGGTGGTGATTGTAGACGAGCTGGACGAGCCGCGAGCGTCAGATCTTGCGTCAGATCTTGGGACTTTGGGCTCTGAATGAATTTCCACAACAAACAATCTTTGGCAGCATCTTGAGCAGCTTGGGACTGTTATGACTGTTTTCTTATGTTGAGCCTCGGTACCCCTTTTTGGTTGGTTTTAAAGGGAGACGAGCAAGACACCAGGCATTTTGGGGTCCCCAAAAAAAAAGACCCACCTTGAGATTGTCTTGCTTTTGATGTTGGTCCAGGGTCCAACATGGTTCCTCCCAGTGTCACAGCAGGTTTTCCAGCCTTGGAAGACCTGAGTCGTCGTCCTTATTTTTTGGGGGTCCAGTGCTTCCAGGCGTTTTGCCGCTATAGTAGGTAACCCTTCGGGTTTCTTGCCTCTCGGTTTTACTATACTGGCTTGCCTGGAAGCACTAAGTATGGTGACATTTCACCATGACCCACTCGTTATTGTTTGTTTTTCTTGGGGGTACTGTGGGCTAACGTGGGGTGTGGGATAATGTTCAGGCGGATGCCTGGATAACATGGTCACTTGCCCAAGGCGAATTGAGCTCTTGACGTTTCAGTGTCCCGCGTGTTGGTCCATTTTAGTGCTGGCCCCAAAAGGCTAGCCTTTTATTTCTGAGCACAAGAACCCCTGCAAGTCACCGCTCCTTTTCAGGCATCGAGCAAAAGGTAGTTTGCAGTTTTTCCAGAGGCTGCTGCCGAAGAACAAGTACTTCGGCCGGAAGCTGGCAAGGTGCGCCCGATCTGGCAAGTTGGCTTGTCGGAGGCACATAGCCTGAGCCACAAAGCATTAAAACTCAGGCGAGTGACGGTTGGTGAGGGATTGTCCAAGCCATAAGTAGGTGCGGATAGTGATTCCTTCGGCCGACCCCTCACTGAACCTTGGGGGGGGTTGGTTGGGGTCGGTGGGAATTCGCGATCCGTGCCGCGCTGGTTGATCGGTGTTCGGAACAACTCATTTTGAGTGGAATCTTCACTTTTTCTAGCGGGGGGGGAAACACCCCACAAATCCACCATGACCCTAATGGAAACTTCTGTATTGGGGGAGAAACAGACACTCACCCTGTGGATCCTCACCTTTTGGGGGATGATTCATTTGGGCTCCACCCATTCTCCGCACTCGTAGACCTGCACATATCAAGATAGCATGGAACCAAACACTTGGAGCTAGGTTTCCCATTGCCCTCTTCAGAAGGGGGTTCAACTGCCTGAAATCATCCAAAATCCAATACACCTAGTATACTAGCTTCCTGGATTCCCATGGTTTCCCTATGGGACATTTTGTGGGTGCGTCTTTTTCAATAGGATTTGGACCCCCCCGCCCGTTTGCAAAAAATGAAAAAATGAAAAGAAACAACGCAATGATTTTGACCCCCTGAAAAAAGAAAAAAATGCCAGTTGGTATTCCTCAACCGCACACACCAGCCGAGCCACGACGAGCCACTCGCCAGAGCCGCCAGAGCCCCGAGCGCGCCCGGGCGCGACTCGCGCCCGGCTCGCGCATCGCCAGGTACCAAGACCCGGGCATGTGGCCCACCGAGGGCGTCTTGAAGCGTCTCATGAGGCGAGCGAGCGAAAAGCGAAGAACGCGGAAGCCCCCCCCTTTTTTCTTGGCTCTCAGCCATCCCCTCAGCTTTGTAGCTTTTTGGTTGGTTCAGCCGGGGTTTCCATGTACCCCACTAATTTTTAAACTTTTAGCAGGGGATTTGAGGGCAGCTCAGTTGTCTTGCTGGTGCGATAGGCAGGGAAGGAGAGATATGACACTTGTAGACCAGCCCGCCGGTGGTTTCCTTCAAGGGAATCCCTGGGTTCATTCCCACATTCCCTACATATCGCAAACGCCAGTGGTTTTTTTTGCGTTTCGCGGGTGCTTCCAGGCGAGACGCCTGGGTATGCTTAAGAGAAACCGGAATCTAGAACCTGGCAAGAAACCTCGAGGCTTCCCTAGTGCCTCGAACTGGCCTAGGATCTCGCCACTTAACGAAGATCCCAGTATCCTACGACGCATGTGGCTGTGGCTTCTTTGGCTCTTTGGGGTTGGGTCCAGGGACCTCGCGACCCCAGAAAACCCGGGCGTGGGCGAGAAGAGACATGGGGGATTCGCGCGTGCTGGCAATGTTCTTGTTGGTTTGTCACACCAGGCTCAACAAAGAGTACCGAGCCTCGGAAAAAGGACAAAAAAAGGCGCCCACCCAAATGGCCAAGTTTGAGAGCGAAGCCCTGGAGCAGGCTTGGTGGACATAAATCCCCGCCTAGATCCACGAAAGGGTCCGTTGCAGAATGTCACACCTAGCTGGGTACCGAGCCTCGCAACAGAATGCTGGGTTTCCTTGTGCCTTCCCTTTACAACCAACCGAAAGGGGTAGCCTCAACAATTGACATGCCCAAATTTGTTTGTTGTGTCTTTTCTTGAGACCACCTGTTGTTTGTCGTTTTTAAATGAAAACCAAAAGGAACACCCACCTTTTTTGGGGGGGGAGGTGGTGTGTCTTTTTTTTGAGGGTACGTTTTCCACGTTTTAAAGGAACACCCAAAGGAGAAACCACCTTTTTGGGGCTCCCCTGAAAAAAGAGGACACAATTCGTGTGTTTGTGTCTTTTTGGCGGCCATTTTTTTTTGTCCGTTTTTAAAGGAACACCAGCCGGAGAGTCCCAGAGGATCAAAAATCAGAGGAAATCCCAGAAATCAGAAATCCCAGAGGATGTTTAAAGGAAAAACACAAGGAAACCACAGAGGATGTTTTTTTGGGGGGGTCTTGTCCCTAGATCTCTCTGGCGTTTTCGAGGAACAACCAGCGGGAGAGCCTGCAAGTGGTGGCCGCCTCTGCCACAGCCTATCGCTCCAGCCGTCTGAGGCGTGTTTTTTTTTCGCGTCTTTTTTGTTTGTCCACGTGTGTGTTTTTTCCCCCCCGGTTTCGTGTTGTGTTTCTTTTTGTTTTTCAGCTTTTTTGTAGTGTTTTCTCTTTTTTTCTAGGGTTGCTTCGTTTTTCCATTCAATAAACGATCGCCATTCCCAGGGTTTTTGGTGGTTTTCTAGAAAGAAGGATCCCTGGAAAGAATGGACATGGAAGTTACCCCTAGAATGCTCCGGTGAAACGATCGCTTTGTCACCTTCAAAGACTTAGAACTACCACTACTTGGTGGCTCCCAGCCGTCCGGTTCAACTTAGGTTTCTATTTTTTATAGTTGGTTTAGTGGGGATTTCCATTTAAAACCGCTAAACATTGCACTTGTGGCGGGGGATCTGAGGACAGCCCAGATACTACCTTGATCTTCCACCCTGAAAAAAAGCAGTCGGTTGCTGGGGCCCATCCGCAAATGCATGTCTTCATTTTATGTATTCGGACAATTTGTTAGTGGTGCGGGATTGGTAAAACCTGCATTGCGAAAGGCCTGCGATTGGGCCGCGATTGGGATATCCACTACATGTTTGCTGGTAAGATGGGAAGAAGTTACCAAGTTTGCTGCGCGATTGGCCCCGTTGTAGCGAAAGGCCGGCGATTGGAGGGTTTTCAGGCGAAGAAATATTGGACAAGCTTGGATAACCTCCATGACAGAGAACGTCTTCTTGTAAAAGCCTGGCCGGTGTGCCCGCCCCCAAAGACAATAACGCAACCAGAAGACTTGGCGTTTTTTGTTTTTTTTTTTTTTTTGTCAAGAGCAATATCTAGAAGGACCAAGAGCTTTTTTGCCGGGTCCTGGAAAGACCAAGGCTATACATTGCCAGGCCAAGGCTAATCTTTTCAACTTGGCCCTTTTCGCACTTCCTGGGTTCATGAACTTTAAACTTTTTGGGAAGACCATTTTAGTGGTAAATATAAAGCTTAAACATTTTTTGGGCCATCCACTCAGCAAGTGAGTTTTGGTTTTTCTTCCCTGTTCGAGCTAGCGACAGGTTTTCACTCTTGGGTCCCGGTCGGATCCGAAGACTGGCCTGTATAGGTCACTGGGGGAGAAGCCGCCATTGAATGAACAAGCAGTGGGGAAAACTATATGGTATTCCCAAGGGACTGCGAGTGAGCTGTTGTCGAATTGACCCCTAAGAAGTCCTTTGCTGAAGAATCCTTCCATTTGCCTTTCAGAGTGGTATGTTCTGATGGTTTCAAAGGGAATTCGACCCCAGATTCAAGAGAGCCCATCCTATTCACGGGGGGGTGGGGCGGGGCCACAAAAGTGAAAGATTCTCTGTAAACGATGGACACCCCGTATCGTTAAACTGGGCTACATTAATCCGGGTTCCCAATTCCTGGAAATGTGTTCCATTTTCTTTTAGGACAGGAAAACAAACATCTTTGCCTGGCAACCTGCCTCAAGTTTGGCTGAACAACCCAGACCACCTTGCGACATGTCGAACTTCTGGATGAAAATCGCAACTTGTTGACCTGGGATCCTTAGGGCCGGAGGTGTGCCCCTGCCAGGCTGGAGAAGGTGCTCAAGCGAGACAGGCTGCAGCGCTTCCCGATCCCCTTGCCGCGCATCGCAACTCGCCCGAACTTCCGAACTGCTCGGACGCATGAGGAGGGCGATTGCCTGCGTAATTGTTTGGAGCCTTTTTGAGTAGTTTTGAAGGTAACTTAAAAACGGACATCCGTTTTGAGGGTGATTGCCTCTGTGTTTTTGGATGGAAGGTGATTAGGAACCTCTAGTGCTATCCCTCTTTCCCACAAGCCTTTGCTCCATAAAGACTTCGACACAATTTTAGGGATCCTCCACGTGTTTCCTGATCACATTTGTCATCGACAATCATAGACGGTTCCTTGTTGGTTCCGGTTTATCTTGTCGAGAAATGAGTTTCTGCTGGCTCCTTTTTGAGTCGAAACAGCGGTGGACCGCCCAAAATGCACGTGTCCTTTCAACTTCCCTTTTGAACTGCTCCAAACGGCTCAGTTCCTATGATATATTATGATGCTCCCTTTTGGCTAGTTTTGAGTTCCCCTTCCAATACTAGAAGCACCACTGGTTCCTGGGTATTGCCAAGTTGGCGCATAGAGCTCGTAGGGTCAGTATGACTTGGCGAATCTCACTGGCGCCAACTTGGCAAGGAAGACCCGAGGACTGGAAAAAGGAGGACGATACCAGGGCTCCTCAAAAGACACATTTTGCAACCATTCGAAACATGTTGCTTTTTCCACCAAAATAAAGGGAAACCACCATTGACAAGTCAATGTTCAGGTGTATAATGTGAGGATCCCTGGATACCTTGCATTCATCAACCCCTGCTATTCAGGGGGGTCACCCAGAAGAGTGCTCCGGGTGCGCACGAAAAAAGGACCCCCGAAATCATCCAGTGGTTCCGCTGAATTCGGGGTTTCACTCTTGGGCTATGAATCCGGGAGCCTGGAACCTACCAGCACGTCGCGCCTCATCAGTTTGTTACTTTCGGTATGGGTCAAAATTAAACCACCGGGGGACCGCATATTCCTTTTTTCCACGTAGGGCAACACATTTTGGGCCCTATTGTTGACCCACCCCCATATGGGTAGTTAGGGTCCGGGAGCTTTTCTTCACTGTTGTTGGCATGTGTTTCGTCGCTGTTTTTTTGTTGTTGTTTGAGGGGGTCTGTAACCATGTTTAGACCAGCAACGAACAGCCAGTTCTGTTGCCACTGCCATTCCGTTCAGGTACCTAGATAGCCAAGTTGCTGCTGTTTTCAGCCACTCTTGCTGGTGTTCCGGGTCTGCATGGAAAAGAAACCATCGCGACTGGGCATCCAGGTCGGTTGCTCTTTTTTTTCTGGACGGCGCCCGCCCAGGACCCGCAGCGCAGCTCGGCGGCGGTGCTGGAGGCTGCCGCCCAGGCCATCGAATCCCAGGCGGGGCGAAGATCGATCTGGTGGGTGAAGGGCCACCAAGAGGAAATGGTTGCCATTGGTTGGGGTCCCTTCATTTTGGAAGTGCTTCACTATGCCGTGTGTCCCTCGTCTTGTTAAACTTGACACGTACACGGAGGAGTTTTTCTTCGAAGTGGCGGAGGTTATGAATGGACTACGCCACCCTCAAGATTATATATATATATATACCCATACATCTATCCTTACACATATGCAATCAGGATGTGTATAAATGTATAGGATTTGAACCCCCCCCAAACTGTATATGGCCATAAAAGCCACTGTTTCCGCAGCCCCATTTGAAAGGGGGGGAAGTTATCCATGATTCAAGAGCGGCACCGAAACAGCATAGAACCCCTCAGCTTGCCCGGGGAAAATTTCGAAGAATGGGTTGCCATACCAGCCTTTCTTCGTCAGGCTCCCCGTGGAGCATTGGAAGCTGTGGGTATGTGCTTGGATGACTCGTGGCAGGGAAAAGAAGTGTCTATTGGGAGGCGGTGTCTTGTTGAATCATTGAAGGGTTGATTCATCAGCTTCCTTACCTAGGTCCCCCAGTAGTGCCCTTTTACATTTTTTTTTTGGGGAAGGTTCCCCTACTAAAATAGACTACAGAAAAAATAGTACCCTTAGTCTAACCTCTCTACTGGAGGACCTAGTTACCTTTGTTGCTGGTGCATATTCCCTGAATTTGGGGCAGCACTTTTTCTCGGTTCACCGGCGTGAGGCAAACGATGAGGAGGAGGAAGAGGAGGAAGCGTGCCTTGGCCGAACTGGAGGGGCAATGAATCGGTATGTGTCACTGGGCATGCCTCCAGGTGCTTGGTTGTCTTTGCTTTGCACACGCCTCTTGCATTTGCTTAAGAATACTTGTTATTTTCCCTTGTTGGTTTTAAAGGACTTTTTCACCACTGGAAATCATTTTGCCTTTTTCCAGGGGGCTTAACCAAATGGAAGACCTCCAAAAATATCCCCACCATCTTACAAATGGCATTGGGGGAAAGGGGCATTGATGGTAGCCAATCTTCCCTTTTGTGGGGAAGACTAGATCAATGGAATTGGACCCCCCACCCCCCACTCCCCTTATGGTAGGGGGATCCCAAAATGCCAAATGAGCTCTTGAAGCTCCGATGAGGCATTTTCCTTGGTTTTTTGCGAGGCCATGATTGTGAGCCAGAAGGCCAAATCAAATTACACCTTCCCTTGCTGCCCCGGACATACTGTGGATGGACGAAATCCTGCACCACCCAAGAAACCCTAGAATGATGATTCCCCTGTAAATACCAACAAAAAATGTTTTTTCATGGTTTCAAAGTGGTGCTCGTCCATCCACAGTAGCACTTTTGGGGAGGTTCCTGGAAGAGTAGTTTCTTCTTAAATGGACAGCCTATGACGTGCCAGGTTAGGGTGGAATCACGACTAGATTGGTTTTAACGTACACGCCCCCATTCCAGGAATCAACTCGTCAGGGGTTTGCGGTACCTACTTCGGGGGGAGTACACGCAGGTCTTCTTGCATGGACCCATCATATAGGTGAGATTCACTTATAGCCTACGTGAGTTGGGGCGGCAGGTCAAGGGGTCCTTTGGTACCCTCATGGTGTGATCGTTATACCGGAGGTGAATCTCACTACTGACCTGGCAACAAGCATCCAAGTGACTTTTCATAGTGCCACTATAACGGCTTCAAAGGGTTGCGGTTTATATGTGGAGTGCCAACATAGGCGCATAGGGGGACTCCCAAAAAAAGTTGTTCTCCGGGTGGTTCGTCTTTGACACCAAGACATGCCCTTTGGCACAAGGAATTTTGTGCGACCACGAGCAAAGCGCAGGCGGATAACTCGACACTCATCCAAACCGATCCACTATTCTGCCTATGATCTGGTCAGCTTATCAAGCCTTTAAGGGGTAAAATGAGCTGAAATCCATGATGATTTATCTAAAAGTTGACCATTCTCATGGCAGTGCATAGGACTTGCGGTGTCGTGGGATTGAATGGTGGTTTGGGGATTTGAACCCCTTGGTGCTTGTAGAGGGTACATGGGAAACTGCCCCCAACCTCCTAACCACCAATCCAAATCCAATCATTAGAGAAAAGCTGAAACGTGGGACCCACCATCGTTTTCCAGGACCCCGAAACGTGAGGTTCCATGTTCGTGTAGTCTTTTTGGATTGGTTTAAACGGAAGCCAATAAGAACACCGAAGCTTTTGGTAAATCCCTGTGATGCATCCCATTAGTTCAAATCCTTATTGGGCGAATCCTCAATCCCTGGGCTTCTTTCCGAAAGGCCGGAGGTGCCTTCAATTATTGACACATGGGAGTGTCTTTCTGCTGCAGGCAGATTTGTCGGGGTGGTCTTAAATTGGCGAGTCTCGCTTTCGTGCATGTCCCCGATTTAAAGACACGCCCAATTCTCTGAGGTTGCTCACCAAGATCCTATGTCAGTTGGGGACGCAATGAACTCACTCCCTGAGTTCCTGGACTTTAAGCTCTTCGCGAAGACTATTTGAATGGTCAACAAGTCAAGCGACTTTTTCCGGCCAACTCTCAGGAAGCTTGAAACAAGTTGTTTCCGAACCCAAGACCAACCAAGGCACAGCCCGCGTTTCGCGCATCGAAGCCAAAGCTTGAGGCTTCGGGAGGAGCACCGGGAACAGCAGAGGTACCGGGCGTTGCCGGCGGGGAAGCCAAGCGGCAGCTGATGTGGACCCTGTATGAACCAACATAAATAGGGGTGGTGGTTTTTGGGTGGTGGTTTTTGGGAGGTGGTTTTTGGGAGGTGGTTTTTGGGGGGTGGTTTTGGGGGTGGTCGTAGCCAACCAGTTCATATTTATTAACCAAGCAGTTTATTATTACGCTGGTGCATTGTGCTTGGATGGATGTTAGGACTTTTAACGTTTTGCCAGCGAATGGGTTTTCCATTGGCCCCTCCAAAAGTGGTCTGGTTCCCCACAATTCACACGGGAATGGACACCCCCCTACTCATAAACTGGTTCGCAAGCAAACTGAAGAATCAGCACATTGTATTTGGCGCAAGCCAACATTTGTTTTTGGCCCAAACAAATTGTTTTCCGGCCTGCCTCAGTCCGGCAAGCAAAATGAAGAATCAACACGATATACTTGTGTTTTGCCAATGCAGCTTCTTGACCCAAAATAACGAGTTGTTTGGCTCAAGCAAGTTGCCCTCCTTTGTTGCAGTTGGTCAGCCGTGAAGAAACAAAAGTGACTTGGAGGAACGCCCGGAACTCCTGCGTGCCAGAAACGACAGGCTTTCAGCAAATTGTCGCGCGGGAACTCGCAAACAACCCCAGCAAAGCCCAACAGAAATCCCACAGACCATGCGCGGAAGGTCGCCGCTCATATGGGGTCAACATCACAGGGAGACACTCAGGGGTTGGAACATCTCAAGCTGAGCTGAACCTGCCGCTTACGCAGCTTCCTTGGACGATTCTAACTGAGTATTAACGGATTCCGCTTGGAACGTTTGTGGACAGGGTTTCCTCCAAGAACAAATGGAACTTCCAAAGCGGCGATCGTTTCAGTGGAAACCAGTAAGTTGCAGGCTGAAACGCCCAGTTCTTACATCAGTTTTTGAGAGTACCCTTCTTGGGGTTGGTTCGGGAAATCAAAGGGAACCCGCAGCTCATTTGTTGAATCCCCCTAGTTTGAAACAAGCCCATATTTCTCCTTGTTGTAGCATCACCTTCTGGTTGCAAGTTTAAAGTGAGCTTCTGTCCGGGGTGATGTTTAAGACAGACGTGTAGGGAGCCCTGGAAAAGGGGCTCAATAACTAACATCATCTTCCCATGATCGTCGAATAATTGGGTTTGATTGGTCCCCCAAAGACCCAATCGAATTATTCAGCCCATTTGTTACTCTCTTCATGTTTCACACGGAACCCTGCAAAACATCATGTGTAGAGAAAAGTACCCCCCTACAGATTGCCAATATCCCAAGGTAGACACAGACACCCAGAAAAGCCGCCCTGGTTGATTTCCCCAAGGGACACGGATTCCTGCATTCAAGCTGGTTTGGACAGTTCTCGTACTGGTTCTCAGCAGGGAATGAGGGAACGACGCCGACAAACCATCCCTTGTGGTTTCCTTCGAGAGAATCCCTGGATTCGTTCCCAAAAATCAAAAGCTCTAAATCATTCCCTACTGAGCACCAGCATTTTTTGGCCTGAGCTGGTTTTGGGTCGATTATGAAACAACATCTGTTGGATAAAAAATCGATAGCGGGTTCCTTTGGTCATTCGACCGGGATTTCGGGTTGCAACGCTGAACAGGGGTTACTTGTGAAGACTGCCCTTTCGAGCACAAGAGGGTGTATCCGTTGCATGGTGTAGCCCTGTTGCACAGTTGGAATGTTCTTACTCCTGCTACTACAAAAGCCTATCAAAAAGAGTCTTCCGAAACATCATCAGGTTTTGTCGGTTTTTCGAGTCGTGTGTGTTTACGCAAACCATGGGAAAAGGACCCGTTGAGATCTTCGTAGGGACTCTCTTTCCAAAGCTAAGAGGAGGCCTCATGGCCGGTGGTTGGAAACAAATTGCGCGTCCATGAAATCAACAAAACCCAGTTGCTCAGTGGATTCCGCCAACTATTTGTTCAATTTTTTTGGGGAAGGGTTCCGATTCCTTTAAACTCAACCAACCAAAAATGATGCCCTTTGTTTTCCCATGGCCGATGGGCATCTGAGAAAAGGTGATTGTTTTTTTGGCTCTGGGGGAAAGATCAGCGGGAAGGCTGTCCTCTTGGGAATGCTGGCCTTTCGTTTCAAGAAAAATAAAATTGAACTTTTCATTTGGTTTCTTCGCAAGTTTTGCCAGTGAGGTCAGAGAGCCATGCTAAATCACGCCGCGATTTGTGCTTCTCGGTTTCCATTCAAATGGCTGAGGCAGGTATCGAGCACTTCACGTGGAAGGCGCGTTCGAAGCTCGCGCACTGCTCGCGTCCAGGCAAACACGCTAGATAATAGCTTGCCAGTTCTCGTCCGTGCTCTTGCAGTAGTCAAGGGGTTTTCAAGAATGGTTTTGGGAGGATGGTTGAATACCGCCAATCTAAGGCAGTACGTCTGCAAGTGGTACAGAACCTTGCCTCCAAAGCCCATACCTGAAAACTCCCCTGGCTTAGAAGTCTTTCAGAGTTTGCGGGAAACCCGCGCCAACCCAAAGAACACCTGGGTATGCACTTTGAGGGCACCTAGGGAAACCCTGAATAACCCGAAAATTGCCACTACGTGGGCAACACGGGAAATCCTGAATAACCCGAAAATTGCCACTATGTGGGCAACACATCACCGGAGCAAAACCAGAGCGTTTTTTTAATCCCAAGCAAGTCCGTCCCCTGCTTCCAGTTGCAACTCAAATAGGTAAACGTGGTTTCTTATCTCTAGGTTTTTCATCATGGTTTCCCTTGGTTACCTACCATACTCGTAACTGGAAGCTATTTTTTTGGTTGAGGTTGGTCGCATTTAAAATCGACCAGAAGGTGCCCATTTGTTTTTCCCACCACCGGGGATCTGGGGTTCCGTAGGTTTCCCTCTTTTTTTTAGGTTTCCGTCAACATTTTCCTGACCTTGTTTTGCGGCGCCCCTGTATTTTCCTTTAATTCCCACTCTTCCCTGAGCTTCCCACGTTGCTCACGGGGTTTCCTGAGTTGTCCGTTCCCTGGTGTTTCCTGAAAGATTTGGCACTGATAGACCAAATCCACTTCGCACCAGGTCATACATGGCTTATCCCGCTATTTATTATAGGGTGTCATCTATCCCAGGTGGTCCAGGATTTCGCTATTGACAGAACGTTTCCCTGAAAGTGATCCCTGGTTTTTGTTCAGGCTTTCCTTACAAGTCTTGCTTGTTCCTTAATGCTTTTGTAGGTCTCTCTTAGAGTTCCTTGGTTCCTCAGGGTTCTCCTCAACTTGTCCCTTCCTGACATTCGAATGGTTTCCCTACTCTTTTTTGAGTTTCTCCGCTTTTATCTTCAATTTCCCTGTTTTTTCTCATATTTCTCATCCAGTGTCCCTGGTGTTCTCCATGTTTTTCCTGGTTTTCCCAGGTTTTTCCTTGTTGCTGCGGGTTTTTCCTCGAATCCCCTGGCGGTTGTCCCGCGTCTTCGCCGGTTTCACCCTGGTTTCAACCCGAAGAGGTGCCCTTGAGCGGCTCCCACGCAGCGGCTCTGGCGGCGGCACTGGACATGCTGCGCCCGGAGAGCGCGCTGGTCTTCGTGTGTCCCAACGCCGGGGAGACGGTGCGCAGCGTGGTGCAGGACGAGTTTTCGGAGGGACCCAAAGGCGTCAGGGTTTCCTCCATTGTTTTTTTGTTTTTTTTTGGGGGGGCCATGAGAGTCAATTTGATTCAATCGGGACCAACATGGGAACGATGAGAGTCAGGGTTTTGGAGCTTAAAAGGAGAACCCAAAGGCGTCTTGGGTTGGCCAGGTGAGGCATAAAGTTTGGGTTCAGTTGGTCAGTTATGTCCAGTGGTGCAGGACCTTTTTTCAGGGGGAACCATACTGCGGATCGTTTTGAAATCCACTTCGCACCACCGTTCAGAAACCCTGGTCTCTGATGATTCCCCTGCACATACCAACAAACGGTTGGTTTTCCGTGGTCTCAAGTGATGCAGGATGTTGTCCACCCCACAGTAGGTCAAGGTTTCCTCCATCTCTCTTTCTGTGGAGCCTCCAAAAGTGGCGATCGCGTCAAGGGAAGCCACCAATCAATTGCAACGGTTAAAGGGGAAATCCAGAGGAACCCCTCGTGGAGAAAAAAACGGGCCCTGGTAGACCTTTTTTAATCATCTACTAGGGCCATCTATTTTCCGAAAAGGACACCTATGAACGGAGCCCTTGCGGCCTCTGAAAAGAAGCAGCAAGTTTGGTGGGTTCCATTGGCACCCTAGGCGTTTAGTAAGTCAATGATTCAGTTGGTGCAGACGCCACACCCGTGAGGTTTGTGGATGTGTCCCTTCTTTAGGGCAGGCGGGAAATCCAGAGGGGTTTTGCGAATGAACCACCAGTGCCATGAAAGGAAGCAGAGCGTGCAGGATGGTGCGCAGTGTGCAGCATAAACCGGTCAGACCATTTTGAAGGTCTCGCGCAGTCCGATTTATCAAAATGCAGCTGGCAAAGGTGAGTTGAGCTTTGACCCTTTAAGGCAGGGATGGAGAGGTCAATTGGTTTGGTTGATTTGTGTGACCTCCATGTATTACGCTGCGACTGGCGAAGGATGCGGCCTGAGCCTCGCGCCTTTATGTGGGATTTTCTCAGCCTCGTGTGTGTGAGCCTCTTGTGTTTTGCCTACAGAGCCACAACCTTGCACACGCTGTTCGCCGTTTTGGTCCGAGGGATCCCTTTAGCCATTTGGTCACTGTACATTTGCTCAGGGCACCTGAGCTTGCAATGGAGTGAGAAAAGAGCGGCAAGGCCACTTGCTGGTTGATTGGGGTTGCACTAAACCCCCGGGAGCTCTTAGGCTCCAACCTTGGTAGCGGAGCCCGGCGAACCGGGCAGGAAGATCAGGGAAACACCACACCACCCAGAACATGGCCGCCATGCAGGCAAAGGAGTTCTACGTGACGTGGGACGGAGACCCGGCCACTTGGGCCGACTACACTCGCAAGGTGCGACTGCAATGGGAAAAGACTCCCTCCTGGAAGCGACTGACTGGAAGAGCATGGGCCGTGACCTACGAGCTTTCGCACGAGAAGCTGAGCAAGAAGAACGGCACGAAGTACTTGCTTCGCTATCTGCAAGATCGACTGTGTCGAACTCCGGTGCCAGATGCCGGAGCGCGGTTGGAGGACCTTCTCATCAGGCTGAGAAGACCGCTGGGAATGACCATGAGCCAATGGTCGAACGAGGTGCAGGAGGCGTACCGCAAGGTTCAACGAGCCTTGGTCAGGGCTCGCAAGATGGAGCCGAAGAAGGACCTCACCAAGGCGATCTTGGACAAGAGCGCCTCATCCAAGTCAGAACCACATGGAGAACCACAAGGCTGGATCTCAAGGAGTTCGGACGCCCTCGGTGATTTCAGCATCAGGAACCGCCGCAAGGACACGAACGCCAGTTCAAGAAGGAGAAGCGGTGGCTGAAGAAGAAGTTGTGCGTGACCTTCATGAAGCTGAACATGGTGAAGACTGGAAGGAAGAAGAATGGGAAGATTGGAGAAAGTTCAAGAAGTGGAAGCAGACTGGGCGTGCGAAGAGTCATCAAGAAGATAGCGGAGAAGATCTATCCTCTGGGGAGGATCTGCCGTGGGATGAGCTTGAGGTGGAGGATGTGCAGGTGCTCCCGGACGAGGTTCTCGGGTGGCTCCTGCTGAGGCGAGCCAACTTGAGCTCTTCATCCTGGTTGAGCGTACAGGCATCAGTGCAGAACTCGCTCTCCTTCAGAGCCATCGAGCGAGCACTTCGAGATCAAGAAGAAGAACTACTTCATGTGGATGCTCATCGACCCCCTCAACAACAACGGAGACGGACCTACTGGGTCGAGGAGGAAGGTGCGTGGGGCTTGCTTATGACCCCAGATGACGCGATGGAGGAGTTGAGTGGAGAAGTGCACTGGGTTGGAGATCGACTACCCGCTGAAGTATATCCTCAAGCGGCGGAGGAGCACCTCAACGACGAGGTCTACTGGTCCTGGGATGATTCCGGGTGGCGCGGCTACCTGCAGGACGACTATGGGTACTGGGTGGAGACGGACGGCTATGGCACATTCTGGGCATCCGAGGGAGACATCTCTTCGGACCTCAACCCGGAGTTGCGAAGGAGCAGAAGGATCTGGACGACGCCTACGCGGCCTTCGAGGACAAGGCCCGGACCTTCGCGCAGAGTAAGACCTTTCAGAGAGCAAAAGGTGGTGCGCGGGGATTCTACCCCTTCGGGAAAGGCAAGGGGAAGAAAGGCAAGCAAAAGGGCAACTTCGGGAAGGGCAAGGGCTATGGTGGCTGGAAAGGTTCATCGAGCTCGACGAGCACCTCAACCACCCTGGGCAAGCCCTCGAATGTGCTGGTGACGGAGAGTGCCCTGGCGGTGAACGGCTACACCGCCTGCGGAGACCGGAATCATGGTTTTCGCCAGTGCCCAAATCGGGCGAGCGGATCAGGGCAGAGCTCCGGAAAGGGGAAGAACGTCTTCTGGAACACCTCAGCGATGAACGGACGAATCTACATGATCACGGAGCACGAGGAGCAGAAGGTCTTCGTGGGAGGCACGGACATGATGATGGATGATCCTGAGCGACCTGGAGGAGTTGTTCGGGAGACTGCCGGTTTCCGGGTGCTGGACATCGGTGCCACCGAGACGGTCGGTTCCTTAGAGGCGATCGAGAAACTGTGCCAACTGCGAGGACCGCATCACGCCAAGGAGATCAAGGTGATACCGCATGGACAGAAGTCGTTCCGATTCGGGAACAACCAGGTGCAGCGGTCAGAGGGCTACATCCTGGTGCCTCAGCAGATTGGACAGCAGTGGTTGCAACTGGGGATCTTCACGTTGGACGTTGGCCAGATCCCCATCATTCCCCATCCTCATCGGAGTGAAGACGCTGACCAATGGGCGCGATCTTGGATGTGGCAGGCCAGTGGATGGTTTTGAGTCGTGTGTGCCCAGGACTGAAAGCCCCTTTGAGGCGAAGCGCGGCAGGTCATTTGCTTGTAGATTTGACAAATGACTGGATGGTGAGCGGCAAACCCTTGCCTGATGTACAGACACCCGAACCTGTTTTGCACCTTACGGATCCGACCGAGACAGCATACATGGTGCATGGGGAGGGTGAAGGTGTGACAGATCTGTATGCCTCTGAAGTTATGGTCTGTGGCCCTGAAGATGAGGGGCAAGTTCCGGTCTTGGATGATGGCGGAAACCAGGTGTTGTGGGCTGGAACGCAATTGAACGACCCGAGCAGCAATTCGGATCAAGAGATGCGGGACCGCATCCTACAAGCCCTAGCTTCCCCTAGCTCACCTGCGAGCGAATCCCATGGCCACGGAGAAGAACTATGGCAAGAGCAAGGGCAAGGGGAAGAAGAAGGTGACGAACGTGGTGCCACCGGAGGAGAAGTACGATTCGGCAAGGATGCAAGGTCCCGATCCTCGGGACGAGAGATGCGTGGGGGCACCATGCTTCGGAGCTCACATCCCAGCCAGGCCGGGGCCGGGCAGCATCAGCGGGGCCAACAAGTTCGCGATTTGGGGGTGCTGCCAGTGCGGAATCAGGCTGTCGTACACTCCAGCCTTCGGAGCGCATGGGTTGACGAGAAAGGCCGGACCAGTGTCAAAAGACGTCGAGACAGCCCTAGCCAAGGAGGATCCGGAGAAGCTCAAGGGCACGGTCAAGCTGAAGGATGCGGAGCAGAGCTTGCTGAACCAGCTGATGAAGATCAAGGAGAGGAAGGCCAACCTGGTCAAGCAGGCGGAGAGCTCGGAGAAGCACAACTTGGAGAAGCCGAAGAAAGAGAGGATGGCTCGGGGGCAATCCAGCTCGGAGCCAAGCCCAAATGTGCCCCCAGAGACGCGGGAGTACATCGTGTTCTCCAGCGACCCGGAGGGCGGATCACGAGGCAACGGTCGTGCGCGAGAAGAAGATTCCGGTGAAGAAGGAGCCGGACCAGATGTCAGCTACGCCGGGCCGCAAAGCCCGGAAGGCGGAGGAGACGGCGGAGGACCTGGAGTATCAGGAGCGCTCGGAGTGATGGAAGATGAGGAAGAGACCTCAGTGGACTTCGAGGACGTCGACGAGACACCGGACGCGAACTACCACGACGTGATGGTGAACATGACGGAGGAGGGCAAGAAGATGGTCAACGAGCAGTACAGCCACTACCTCAGCGCCATCAATGAGGCCTGGTCCATGATGGGCATCGGCGAGAACAAGGGTGGCATGAAGGTGATGGAGCGAAGAGAACAGTGGCCTTGGTCAGGCCGTGGAAGCCGTCGGTGGCACCATCATTCGTTGTGGCCTCTTCAACAACTGCGACATTATGAAGAGGGCAGGCTACGCGAAGGTGGAGCAGCTCATTGAGAAGGAGCGACCGGACATCCTGTGGTTGTCTCTTCCATGCGGAGCGACCTCGACCATGCAGGCCCTGAATCGGCTGACTCCGGAATCCCGCGCGAAGAGCGACAAGAAGATCACGCTGGCTCGACGCCGAGCTACTCGTGGAATTTCTCTCGTGGAGAAGCAGATTGAGCTGGGAGGAGAAGTTCTTCAAGCATGGCCCAAGGAAAATTGGGGCTGGGGATTTGCGAGCATCCGGCATTTCTGGAAGCGGCGACATCGTGAACGCCGGTACTTTGAGGCCCAGGTGGATGGATGCGCGTACGGCCTCGTCATGGAGGGCGAGATCATCAAGAAGCCGTGGATCATCCGCAGAACCTCACAATGGGTTTGGAAGTTGGAGAGGAAATGTCTGGGAAACCACGTTCATGGGAAATGTGAGGGACTCCGGACGAGGAATTCAGCACTGTACCCAGTGAGGTTAACATTGTGTCAGCGGATCGCGCACGTGATGATGGGCATCCACCGGGACAGGAACAAGGAGGCGGACGCGGTGATGGCTGCAACGGCAGCAGAGCTCGACAGGTCTTGCTTGCAAGGGATGACGGATCAGGAGCTGGCGAAGATGGGCCAGGACCTGATGCGACTACATCGACGACTTGGTCATCCCAGTCGACAAGCCTTGATGCGGATGCTGCAAGACAGAGGAGCTTCCCAACAGCTGCTGGTGATCGCCAAGAACATGGTCTGCGAAGACTGTCAAGAAGCTCACATGCCATCTGCGAAGCGGCCGACCACGATAGAGACGGCCAACAAGCTGTGGCAGGTGGTGCAGACGGACAACCTCATGATCACCGTGGGAGAGGAGGTCTACCACTTCCAGCTGATAATGGACGAGGCGAGTTCCTTTGCGGTGGTCGTCTACTTGTTCAAGCACAAGGCGACAGAGGGACGGAATGCCACCTCAGAGGAGATCCTGGAGTCTCTCCAGAGCAGATGGATTCAGTACTTTGGGTACCCGGAGAAGATCAAGCTTGATAAAGAAGGAGCACACCGGGGTACTCTACTTGCTGAATGGGCAGATCAGCATGGAGTGGAGATGGACTTCATCCCTGCGGAGTCTCACGGCATGATCGGACAGGTGGAGCGTGGCATTGGCGTGCTGAAAGACCGGATGATCAGACATCTGCGCTCTAGTGAAGGAGATCCACGCGAAGCAGCCTTGGCAATGGTGACCGCCCACAATGGACTGGCCCGGGTCGGAGGATACTCTCCACAGCAGTGGGTGTTTGGACGAAACTTCACTGACGCAGACTGACTCCATGATGGACAGGACCTACCTTTCTGGTCCTCGGTGAGTTCAGATGAACGGATGCGGAAGAATTTGGAGATCAGAATGCAGGCTGAGACCAGCTACCGGAAGGCAACGGTGGAGGACAAGATCTCACGGGCTCGGAATTCACAGTCTCGACCTGTGGTGAAGTACTACCCCGGGGACCTGGTCTTCTACCGGAGGTACCAACAACCTGCAGATGCACGAAGCCATGCTCGACTCGATGTTCCTCGGCTGCGTCTGGCGAGGTGGTATGGACCTGCGAGGATCCTGGCATTGGAGACGAAGGTGGCCTTCTCAGGGGAGATCCGGCAACCACATTAGCTGGCATGGATCATCAGCCAGGGGAGACTGAAGCGAGTGCATGTCCTTCAACTCAGACATGCCTCCGAACGAGAAAAGGTCATTGCTGAAGATGGTCAGGTGATCACTACCCCCTGGACATTCGGTGATGTAGCAGCCGGACTCAACAAGGGGGCCTTCGAGGATCTCGTAGAAGACCGAGCTTTACGCCGGGAGCAGAAGCCAGACGATCGAGGAGCCAAGCAGAAGCGGAGGAAGTTTGGCTTCGCGGATGGCGAGCGTGCGAGAAGGTGGAAACGACAGAGCGGTGAGATCGGCGGGGATGAGTCTCAAGCCGACGCACCTGCGAGAAAGGAGAGAGAGCCTCCAGCCTTTCGGAGAGAGCGAGAACGGCAGAGGACTGAGGAGGAAGAATTCTTCCGGGAGATCTTTGGAGAAGACAAAGATGTGGATGGCAGCCGCCTGGTGGACGATGCGGATTACTTGCCTATGAACGCGATCCCCGCATCGACCGGAAGACCGTCCTCGTCATCAGGTCAGCCTGACCCCATGCAAGATGGAGGTGAGCTGTTGCGGAATGAGCTTTTTCAGCGAGCGAAAAGGAGACATGAGCTGGAGGACCAACCTCAGCATGTGATAAAGGAGCAACCTGAAGCAGAGCGTGATGTCCTGGGCTTTGTGTCGGAGCTCCAGGAGTTTGAGAACATTGTGTTTGCGGTGATCCTTCCAGAACCCAAGGATGAGACAGAGTGGAAGGCCATCGTGAAGGACCCTCAGAAGTTCATGGCGAAGAAGGTCGCAAAAGGTGTGGAGGTGTCCTGGCAGAGGCTTTCACTGGAGCAGAGAGCCGCGATGAAGGAGGCGAAGGGGGCCGAAATCAATGAGTGGTTGAGCAACAAGGTGGTGCGGGCTGCGATCGGCGACGTCCCGCCACATCGGCTGATGAAGATGAGATGGGTGTTGACCTTCAAGAACGGACCCGAAGATGGAACGGTGAAGGCGAAAGCTCGTCTGGTGGTGCTCGGCTACTCGGACCCCGATGCTGGTTACCTCAACACGAAGAGCCCAACGATGACACGGAGAAGCAGACAGCTGCTACTTCAAATGGCAGCACACCGAGGTTGGCGAGTGACCAAGGCCGACGCCCGCGCTGCTTTTCTTCAAGGTGGAGAGACCCAACTTCAACGACAAGTTTTTGGACTACCGGTGGAGGAGCTGGCCACGGCAATGAATCTCCCAAAGGGGCGTGCGGTGCAGTTTCTCAAGGCTACCTATGGACTCACGGTGGCACCTCGAGAATGGTTCCTGAAGGTGGACGCCATCCTGGCGGAGGTTGGTTTGAGCAGATTGAAGACGGAGCCGTGCATGTGGAGTCTGAAGGTGCCGGACATGAACCGGGAGGACGGCAAGCAGCGGGTACTCGGGCTGATTTCTGCCCATGTGGATGACTTCCTCATCACTGGACATGAAAGTGATGAGCGATGGAATGTGGCGGTGAAGAAGTTCCACGCGGCACTCAAATGGAGCCCGTGGGAAGAAGCGCCGATGATGCACTGTGGAGTTCAACTGCAGCAACTACCTGATGGTGGCTGGCTGCTGGATCAGGAGGAGTACTGTTCGGGACTTTCACAAGTCACCCGAGATGGCACAGGCAAGGAGCTCACTGAGAATGAACGATCTCAGGCTCGTGCGGTGCTGGGTGCAGTGCAGTGGCGAGTGTATCAGAGTGGACCTCAGCATGCCGCAAAGCTGAGCCACCTCCAGAGTGTGCTCCCGAGAGGAGACAGCACCGTCTTGGGCGAGATCAACAAGCTTGTCCGCGAGGTCTATGGCCAGAAAGACGCCGCCCTGCGGATCTTTAACCTGAATGCGAAAAAGGAGGACGACCTGGTGGTTGTTGGATGGTCAGACGCGGCGCTTGCCAACCGAGTGGATCTGGGATCAACGGGAGGCTACATGATCG